GTGTGTGTGTGTGTCTGGTGGTGTGTGTGTCTGGTGGTGTGTGTGTGTGTCTGGTGTGGTGTGTGTGTCTGTTGGTGTGTGTGTCTGGTGGTGTGTGTGTGTGTCTGGTAGTGTGTGTGTGTGTGTGTCTGGTAGTGTGTGTGTGTCTGGTGGTGTGTGTGTGTGTGTCTGGTGGTGTGTGTGTGTGTGTCTGGTGGTGTGTGTGTCGTGGTGTGTGTGTGTGTCTGGTGGTGTGTGTGTGTGTCTGGTGGGTGTGTGTGTCTGGTGGTGTGTGTGTCTGGTAGTGTGTGTGTGTGTGTCTGGTGGTGTGTGTGTGTGTCTGGTGGTGTGTGTGTGTGTCTGGTGATGTGTGTGTGTGTGTCTGGTGTGTGTGTGTGTGTGTGTGTCTGGTGGTGTGTGTGTGTGTGTTGTGTGTGTGTGTGTGTGTGTCTGTGGTGTGTGTGTGTGTGTCTGGTGGTGTGTGTGTGTGTGTCTGGTGGGTGTGTGTGTGTGTGTCTGGTGGTGTGTGTGTCTGGTGGTGTGTGTGTCTGGTGAGTGTGTGTATGTGTCTGGTAGTGTGTGTGTGTGTCTGGTGGTGTGTGTGTGTGTGTCTGGTGGTGTGTGTGTGTCTGGTAGTGTGTATGTGTCTGGTGAGTGTGTGTGTGTGTGTTCTGTGGTGTGTGTGTGTCTGGTGGTGTGTGTGTCTGGTGGTGTGTGTGTGTCTGGTGGTGTGTGTGTCTGGTGGTGTGTGTGTGTGTCTGGTGGTGTGTGTGTCTGGTGGTGTGTGTGTCTGGTGGTGTGTGTGTGTCTGGTGGTGTGTGTGTCTGGTAGTGTGTGTGTATCTGGTAGTGTGTGTATGTGTCTGGTAGTGTGTGTGTCTGTTAGTGTGTGTGTGTGTCTGGTAGTGTGTGTCTGGTAGTGTGTGTATGTGTCTGGTAGTGTGTGTATGTGTCTGGTAATGTGTGTCTGGTAGTGTGTGTATGTGTCTGGTAGTGTGTGTATGTGTCTGGTAGTGTGTGTATGTGTCTGGTAATGTGTGTCTGGTAGTGTGTATCTGGTAGTGTGTGTATCTGCAGTGTGTGTATGTGTCTGGTAGTGTGTGTGTGTCTGGTAGTGTGTGTGTGTGTGTGTCTGGTGAGTGTGTGTATGTGTCTGGTAGTGTGTGTGTGTTCAGGTAGTGTGTGTGTGTCTGGTAGTGTGTGTATGTGTCTGGTAGTGTGTGTGTCTGGTAGTGTGTGTGTGTGTGTGTCTGGTAGTGTGTATGTCTGGTAGTGTGTGTGTCTGGTAGTGTGTATGTGTCTGGTAGTGTGTGGGGTTCAGTAGTGTGTGTATCTTGGTAGTGTGTGTGTCTGGTAGTGGTGTGTCTGGTAGTATTCTGTATCTGGTAGTGTGTGTATGTGTCTGGTAGTGTGCGTGTCTGGTAGTGTGTGTATCTGGTAGTGTGTGTATGTGTCTGGTAGTGTGCGTGTCTGGTAGTGTGTGTATCTGGTAGTGTGTGTATGTGTCTGGTAGTGTGTGTGTCTGTTAGTGTGTGTGTGTGTGTCTGGTAGTGTGTGTGTAGAGGATGATGGCTCCTTCATGGACTGTATGTCTATCTCACACACACACACGCTGATAAAAAATAATTGCGTGTCATTCTCTCACTGGGGAAGAAGATATAATTTCTACACCGTTGCAGTGATGGGCGGTTTACCTGCTCTAGCTACTGTATGTCAGCATAAGGAATCCTCGCCTAGTAGACAGTTATTATCATTTGCCTGATTCTGGATTTTTAGATTTGTAAATAAGAGAAACAGATTGTATGATCACACAAGGCAGTTTATTTCACCTGAAGATTAAACACCCCACTGCACACCAAGCCAAATGGAAACTAACTTAACCTAACCAACCTCAAACTAACCTAACCTACTCTTAACTAAATTAACCTCCTCCCAGATGAAATAAGCTGGGGAGTGTAATCTTCGGATTATACGGTGTCTTTTATCGCCATGTTAGCCTATTGTTCTAGATGAAGTGAACCAGTTAGATGCATTACAATTAAGTATCGACCGTTGATGGATGACCATAAACTTATTAATATATTTTAAGGTCAGGATCCTTGTTTACAGAAAGTCCATAAATGACTTTGTGGTGTCCTCTTTCATCACCCCCCACCTCCTTCTCCTTCTCCTTCATCTTTCTTATTTTCTCCCCTCTTCTTTTTCTCTCTCCTTCACCTCCTCTTCCTTTTCTTCTTCATTACCCCATCCCCCTTTCTTTTTTCCCTCCTACATCATCATCACTCCCTCCTCCTCCTTCTCCTCCTCCTTAATCTTCCTTCTTCTCCTCCTTCATTGTTCCCTTTCTCTCCTCCTCCTCCACCAGTCCGTTTCTCCTTCAGTATCTTTATTATCTGTTCTTCCGCCCCCATTTCCACCCCTTCCTCTTCCTCCACCACCTTTGCAATGCCCTCTTTTCTAACCACCTTGTCCCCTCCCTCCCCTCACCAACCCCCTCCCCAGACCACCCTCCACCTCACACATCTTCTCCCCACCACCCTTCCCCCCCACCACATTCCTTCCCCCCCCACCACATCTCCCCTCACCACCCCTTCCCCCACCATATCTCCTCACCAACACCCACACCATCAGACCTGACATCCCATTATGCACCACCATCCCCACCACCACCACCATCCCCATCACCACCACCACCATCCCACCACCACACCATCACCGCCATCACCACCACTACCATCACCACCACCACCATCCCCACCACCACCATCACTGCCATCACCATCACCACCATCACCTCCATCTCCATCACCATCACCTCCGTCCCCATCACCACCACCACCCATCACCATCACTACCAACACTCATCCCCACCACTATCACCTCCATCCCCACCATCACCAACACCCCACCACCACCATCACCACCATCCCCGTCACTACAAACACCTCCCTCCCCACCACCATCACCACCATCCCCATCACTACCAACACCTCCATCACCATCACTTCCACCATCCCCATCACTACAAACACCTTCATCCCCATCACCACCAACACCTCCATCACCTCCATCCCCACCATTACTCCATCTCACAGTACAATATAATCACCAAACAGCTGACAAACATCAAGACTAGTTAACATCCAATTCAACCTCAATGTTCTCTCGGTACTTAACACAAGAAAAATTCACTTTCTAACACAAATTAATTATCAAACACAAAATAAATATACGTTAAAACTACCTACGTGTTGGTAGCGTGAAGAATGGTTAAGGCGCTGAGACGGATATTTAGAAAATATCTATACCTCTGTCACCATGTAACATATTTTATGTGTACCTAATTTAATGTAACATATTTTATGTAAAAAATTACTCTTATATTGTCTTTTCAATTATTTTCATTTATTTATTTATTTATTTATTTATTTATTTATTTATTCATTCTTGCTTCTTTCACTTTTTCTTTATTATCCAATTCTCTTTTCATCTGTGTTCGTTATACTCGTATACTTGTGAGATGAGGAAGGTATTTGTTTATGTTTGTGGTTATTCTGAGGGGTAGGAGTGTAGGCCTACAGTGGCCCCTCACACACCAGTAAGGGGAGGCTGGTCAGGGGAACTAAGATACAACACTTCAGAGGAGAAAATATGATATACTGTACTTATTATTTAGGACTAACTGTATTACTGCATAATATCAAAGACATGCATGACAATGTTTTAGTCAACACAATGGAATTGAGAACTAATCATAATGGTTCTTCCTTTATTAACGACGTTACTCAAACTGAACAGTTACACTTTCGAAACAATAACCTATCTTTCGAGCTAGCTACCCAGGGGTCATATGAATCACAATACATTTTGTGAAACGGATAGACCTAATAGGTACCCACATTATAGCCACCATATAAGGAGGTGACACCCAGGACACAACCACACTTACTCTGACCTAACACAGACTCCGCTTTTCAAACTGCGTCAGCCCACAAGGGACGCCACAACTTTCATGACGTCACGCCTCATAGGCTTTCTCATTGCTCGAAGACAGGCCTAAGGCCTTAATACTATTGGCTTGAAATTGGTGGGAACTCCCAGGTGGCGGGACACTCATGACATTGTCATAATAACTTCATCCCCATCACCACCAACACCTCCATCCCCATCACCACCAACACCTCCATCCCCATCACCACCAACACCTCCATCCCCATCACCACCAACACCTCCATCCCCATCACTACCAGCACCTCCATCCCCATCACTGCCAACACCTCCATCCCCATCACTACCAGCACCTCCATCCCCATCACCACCAAGACCTCCATCCCCATTGCCACCAACAACACCTTCCCATCACCACCAACACCTCCATCCCCATCACCACCCATCCCCATCACCACCAACACCTCCATCCCCATCACCACCAACACCTCCATCCCATCCCCATCACCACCAACACCTCCATCCCCATCATCATCAACACCTATCCCCATCACCACCAACACCTCCATCCCCATCACCACCAACACTCATCCCATCACCACCAACACCCATCCCCATCACCTGTCCCCATCACCACCAACACCTCCATCCCATCACCACCAACACCTCCATCACCTCCACATCACCACCAACACCTCCATCCATCACCACCACCACCACCTACCATACCACCTACATCTCCTCACACCACCACCACCACCACCCTACATCCCTCCACCACCACCACCCATCCCAACACCACCACCCACATCCCCACCACCACCACCACCACCACCCACATCCCCACCACCACCACTCCATCCCCACCACCACCACCACCTCCATCCCCACCACCACCATCACCACCTACATCCCCACCACCACCACCACCTCCATCCCCACCACCACCACCACTACCACCACCTACATCCCCACCACCACCACCTACATCCCCACCACCACCTCCGTCACCACCACCTCCGTCCCCACCACCACCACATACTGTAGCTCCAGCCTAATATTCTCTACCACCAGGTTGAATGTACTGGGAGCCAACACCAGCCCTACCACCGTCATCGGCACCGTCACCACCACCGACAGAGGATCCCCATCAGAGATGACCTCTACGACTCATGGGGGACCAACACCCGGGACAAACGTCAATGGGACCCTGAAGACAACGAGATAGAGAGCGGCTCCTGGGGCGACTGGTCAGGGCCTTCCCCTTGTTCCAGGTCTTGTGGTGGTGGCGTTACCTACCGCTCCAGATCCTGCACGTCTAAAAAGTCAGTTTTCACCATTATCTTATGTTAATTGTCACACATTCCATAATACAGTACTGTACAGTATACTGTATGTTCAAAATTATTTGTTTAGGTATGATAGTTTTTAATCAGTTCGACAATAACAAGTTAAGGTGTGTTTGTACACTTGCTCCCAAAAGTGTGAGACACAATGTGCAAGGATTTTTACAACCCTACCGAGGCAACAGAAGTCACAGTGTTCATTTTGAAATATATTGCACCCCTCCATAAAGATACCTTTTGGATCATGTCTTCAGTATAATGATCTTGTATATTCCACTATATAGTATATGTACTATAATCCCTAACTAGTTTGACTTAAGTATACTGACATACTCTACAGTTCGATAATCAAATATTAAATCAACCCATTTCAACAGTTCTCATGTAGATATGATTATGTGACCGTACAGACACACACACAAGTCTTCATCCAAAACACAGAAGCTTTTTTTTATACTGACTTTATTCATTTAACTGTGAGGTTTTTGTCTTGGTTCTTGTCTGTGTATAAAAAAATGTTCGATCATGTACAGTAGTCATTAACATCATGTTTCCCTCCCCCAGCCCTCAAGACTGCACCGGGAAGTCCAAGAAATATGAGTCATGCAACGTGGATGTCAGTACAGTATTGATTATTGTTGTTTCACTTTGTAAACTGTGTACAACTTGAGAATATGAGCTAGTATGTGTATATATTACTGCTTCTCAGCCTTTTCCTGTCACTCTCCATGATTGTCTGGCACCACTTACAGTATTATTCCCTCCCCTTTCTTTGGCATTTCTGTAAAAATATTATATAGTTATACTGTACTGTATATCTTTTCGGTAAAGGTGTAGATAACGGTTACCACCAGAAGTGCTTGTTGATTTTTTTTATTTTTGCTGTACTTATTGTTTTGATGATTTTAAGTATATTAAAAGAAACGACAACTTTCTATGATAATTTTAAGTATTTTTATTTTTTTAATTTACTCTATCCCGCTTCACAATTCTCCCCCTGGCACTTCCCTGTATTCCTCCTGGTAAATTTGCACTTCCACCTCCCACTCTGTTAGAAAGTAAAAAATATATTTTTCTAGTGTATTTGTGTATGTTTAGACCGAATATGACCTTCATTTCCGTCGGAAATTTACTTTTTTTTTTATCGATTTTTTTCGTGGGACTTTAAAAAAAATGGCTAAGCGAATAAAAAATACACTAAAACACACTAGAAAAACAAAAAAACCTAACCTAACCTAACTGACTCACCATATGATGGAATCACCTATTTCTTACCTAATTGGGCTGGTTCTTGTTCGTCATTGGATTCTGAGATTCTTACACAACGCCACATATGTTGTTTCTTGCGATATTTACATTCAGTCTTGCACTTATGACACTTTGCTGAAGTTGGAAGAACACCATGCTATCGAAAAAATGCTATAGTTTCTTCGTTTATTCCCCCAAAACTCTCAGTCAGCTCCATATAATTGAAGTGACACCCATCGCAGACTTCCATGGTCGGAAATGAAGTTGAATTTCAAAATAAGAGACCCAAAATAAAAATTGATTTTGATTGGGCCAATAATACCGCAAATTAAACCACAAATCATTTTAATTGGTTGCAAAAAAAAAGCTTTTGATTGGTCGCGTGACGTGTACGGTAACGCATGTGCGTGATGATTAATCAAGGAGACACACAGGAGACATGCAGTGTGAGAGGTGAGGTAGGTGATAATGGCAGAAGATTAATGGAAGAAAATAGAGAATATTTTGGATATGCTATCTCCGTTATTATACATTTGCGACTGTAATGTAATAGATGAAAATGATCTTATAATTAGACGTCTTATTAGAATATGATAATAGATTAGTGGTAGGAATTTGGAATGTTTAAATGCAAAAATACCTTTCTCCTCATTATTGCTGATGTATATCAACCTCAATATTAAGGTAAGTTGTTTAACACATAAATTAACACATTAATGCATAGAACCTAATAGAACCTGACCTATGGGTATGTTAGGTCAGGTTCTTTGCATTGTTTCTATTTTTGTGTTCAATATCATGATATTAGTTTGTAGAAAAAATTTCTACTAATTCGGACAATTCCTTCTGGTGGTCACCCTCTTCTATACCTTTGCCATCTTTTCTTCATAAGTGATTGTTTCTAAAATTCTTTAGTTTTTATGTATTATATTCATTTACTTATACTGTATTGTACATTTACCCAGTATGTTCGTTTTTTATTTTATGTGTTGTTGGTAATGTAATGTACAGTGGTACTGGTTAATCACTTGGTTTTCATTGTGTCCTGGGTTCAATCCTTGGCGTAACTTATATATAAGACAAAACAATCATCAGTTGTACAGTACTGTATATAACCACCATTTCTTCTTAGTATATTAGGGACAAAATTCACAATCAACTATAGTTAGGTGTAGCTTTGATTTACTCAGGACCGGTGTATTTTAACCATGTTTACCGGTAGTTTACATCAAGTGTTAAGATTTTCTAATGTTCAGTACTATTTGCCACAAATGCACAATACAGTACAGTAATTACTCTCAATTTCACAAAAGTGTGTATTAGCTGTAATTAATGATATTATAATACAGTACAGTATGTTATAGCCCTTTTTAACTGCTTTATTCAAGACAGACGATTTTTAACCATACTACTATAGGCTTCAAGTACTGTACCATTGTACAGTACAATAGATACAGCACAGTACAGCACTCCACAGACATGCTTTAGCCGTCCTTCATCAAAAAGGAAAACTAAATCTCTTATAGCTTTTCACTGTTGATGAACTAGTGTACATAATTGCTAAACTTGTTACATGCTTTAAGCTCATAGTTGTTGAAGCACAGTAATATAACATGAAAAATATCTCATAAAAGTATTTGCTATCTGCATTTATTCTTAAATAGGAGCATAATTAGCTAAGTAGCCCACAAGAGTACATGCAACTCAATTTAAAAACAATGACTCACTTAATCTTGCAAGTTTGCATCGTGTCTCAATTGACCTATATTTCAGGGGTCATAATTCCTGCCCACTTACCATGCAATTCGCTAAGAGAGTGTGCCAGGAATGACAATGTCATGTTGCAAGGTAGTGTGTCTTGGTATCACGTAATTATATTTTTGGGACTCAATTTATGGTAGTGGTGTCAGGTCATGGTAGTGTCAGGGTGGTACCAGTAATAGTGTCACTTAATCAGCCTCTGCCTTCCCCACAGCCATGTCCAGAAGGCTCCAAGGATTTCCGTGCTGAGCAGTGCCAGAGATACAACAGTGTCCCCTTTGAGGGCAAGTATTACAGGTGAGAGTTTAGAGCTGGAGTGACCATACAGGAAGTTAATATTGACTACATACAGTACTAAGGTGGCGACATACAGCACTACAGTGGCCACATAAAAGACTTGTGTTAACATACAAGGCTACAGTGGTCACATACAGGGCTTAAATGGTCTGATTACAAATTGTAATGACTTTTTAAAGCTCGGTACATTATATGGAGGTAAGGTGGGAGAGTTGCCTCTAAATAAGGTACAGTACAGTGAAGCGTGAAAGAGATAGATGAATTGGCTAACGCTGTACGGTGTACATACAGTACAGCCCTAACTAATGGCAAGAACATACGTTCTCAGTATCACTGGTACTTTTGACAAGACATTTATTTTAATGGTGCAGAATACCATATACAGCAGGGGTGGGCAATTATTTTTGATGGAGGGCCACTTCATGAATGGTGGCACACTTTGCGGGCCACCCACTTAATGTAGATGCAAATGTATTATATTAACACAAAGTTAAGCCTTGTATTTGTAAATACAAATGCAGTGGCAGGCCACAAAAATAATTTGGCGGGCCAAATGTGGCCCGCGGGCCGTACTTTGCCCACCCCTGATATACAGTATACTGTATAGGGTATTAAAAAATAATTTATTCCTATTGTACTTGTTGAGCAGAAAACTGAATTGGCATGGGTGCTTGTGTCCAATTTTGTGAACATGACACTGCAAAGAAAAAGGCTGTTTATTCTATCAGAATTTGACAGTGCAGTATTGTATTTAAATATCATAACATCTCAGCTAGTTCAGTAATCACTCATCATTACTTTCAATTATTGTACAGAGTTAATGCCCATTTGAGCATTGCTGTGAGATGGCAAGTATCTGCCCCCCTTTTACAGCAAATAGTTTTACAGTATGTATTGTTTAAGATGCCATGCAGCAGCGGCAGATCCAGGAATATCAAAGGGGGGGATCCAAGAAGTTGTGGGTGGGGAACATTGCGAGCACAGCGAGCCTACCCAGCTGGGGGGGATTTGGGGAGTGCTGTAAGCTTCCCCCTCCAGAAGTTATTTTGGAATCTGACCAATATAATGGGTATTTTGAGGCCATTTTGAAGCCATGTGCACTTGATATTAGGAGATATTCTGAGGTCAATAGTAATTACTTTTTACTATACAAAAATGCCTGAGTACTGTACAATACTTCATTAAGAAAAGGTATTGGAATTTTCTGATGAAAAGAGGAGGTTTGGACTCCAAGGACCCTCCCCCCCCTGGATCTGCCCCTGTACAGTACATATAAAATTCTTTTCACCTTAACAAAAAAGTTCTTAATGATTCAGTCAAGTTGTGGAGGTGATACAATACTGCATTTAACAAGAGTTAATCAATTACTGTATATGTTAAGTTTATCATTTAAATTTCCACATAAATAATTATAATCAAGGTGATAACTGTTAAATGGAAGAATTATCCACACACCGAGAAAGGTTTAACAGAAGGCAGTGTATCATGTATACCTAAATTAAAGTGCAGGGATATAATATGTTTTAATCACTAATTAAATCAACAAGCAGCAGTTACCTGTATGGGTACTAGGAACCAAGGAGTCAGTGAGAGTTTGGTAGTGTAATTTTGATAAAGTTTAAAGAATACATAAATATTTAATCATAATACTTATATGATACTCAGTAAGAAACACACACACACACACACACACACACACACACACACTCACACACAATAAAATATTGAAAAAAATCATATCTTTTTAATGACAAAAAAATGCAGCTTACATTACCTGCAAAATCTCCACCCAGCTTATTTCACCTAAAGATTAACCATCCTAATGCAAACCTATCCTATCCTATCCTAAGCTGACCAGATCCCTCCAAATAGTGCTAGGATGGTTAATCTTTTGGTGAAATAAACTGGGGTGGAGATTCTTCAGGTTTTCCAAAAATGCAAACACCACCACAGAGTATATGACTGGGTTCTCCAGAATTATCCACGAGATATATTGAGTTTTGTTGTTAGTCTTTGATACTTAAAGGTTATTGTGATTTGTAACTGGTATGCATTAAAATTCTGCACCTTATTTTGCTCTGAATGTGAAAAATTGCATATAAAACAGTTTATATAAAAAAAGCATGTCCCAGTATCCTTCGCAATTCAACCACTGTTAATGAAGAAAGTGTTTATATTCTTGTAAGTGTTTGTTTCATTCATCATATTCATCATGTGGATAAATAACTTTGGTATTCATCATATTAACATGAGTCTCTTAAAAATTCAGTTTTGGTTACAGGTACAGTACTGTAAATTAAGATCATGTTCTAAATAATCTGCTATTTTATCAGTAAGAACTTGTTTTTATAGATGTACAGTAGTACTTGATAATAACAGGTAACTTGAGGTTTGGAAATTGGTGAATTTACTCCATTGGTTATGGGTGTGATGGAGTGGTGGTTATAACTATGATGTTGGGGTGTTACAGTTGGGTGCCTTACCTGGATGATCCTCAGAGGTGTGAACTCAACTGTCAGCCAGAGGGACAGAGGTATTGCTAGTTTTCATATATTTACACACACATTGGAATGAAGGTGCAGTAATGGCATGTTTTGGCTATGTGGGTGCAGCATGGATATCTCCAGTACCCTGTACAATGGAAACTGACCTATGGTAGAAAAAATCATCAACTGATGACCACTGCTGGGTACTGGTGCTTGGGCCTTTTTGCAGATTTTATGAAGACATCACAATGCATGCAATATAATAACAGTAATTATATCTCTGCAGGTACCTACAAGAATGTTATAACCAGGATGTATTACATCATTGAGAGCCTAATCACTAACTTTTCAACAAATACTGTACATTAATAATGATCATAGAACTTTTAAGTTTGCAGCCAGAGTATATCCATCACAGAAACTTTCAGCAAATGTGTGCAGGATCCAGCCTTATATTGTATTGTTGTTCCAGTTAAATTTATAAATGTGACCTATAGTTATTTAATATTTAAATCTGAAGAAAATAACAATACGTATTTCTGAGGTATCTCGTGGTTTTACACAATTAATAAATAACTGAAGTTGGTTAAGTTCCACTACTGATAGGCCTGGTTAAACATTACATTTGCATGAATCTCTCTTGTCTATTATTATTATTACCGGGAAATTGAATCTAATGCAATAGTTGTATGGGTTGGCAGTTCTTTTAATTAATTTATTTATGTATTTAAATCACAAGACTTACCAAAGTGTTGGAACTACTGTATACAAAAGTTGACTGTGAAAAAAGTTAAAATGGATCCTATATACTTTGCCTGTTAGAGTAGAGTTAAACAGAAGAGTGAATGAACTCATGAAGCTACTGGTTTAATTCTCTGAGGAACCAGTTCATGTACAGTACTGTATATTTATTAATAGTAGAGATAGAGGTGTGAATATTTTGTTAGGGTTATTCATTGGATCAACATGGCATAAAACTAACCAGCCCTAACTTTGGTAATACAATACAGTATTATACAGTACGAGTACAGTACTGTAGAGGTAATGGGGATAGTGCCTTTTCAAATTAGTATATTATTGATACTGCACAAAAGTGTTGAAGCCTTTTCTTAAAGATTTATGAGGAAATGATAAAAAATTTTCAAGATTCATATCAAGTGATTATTAGACCAATGAATGTTTGATCTTCATCATGTTATTGTAATGATCCAATATAATCACCTGATAATCATACTCGGCTAACAGTGCATAAAAAAGGGCACCTGTGTTACCAATCAGCACAGACATGCTCAGTGACCAAGAAGAAGAATCAGTCTAAACATCTCGTGAGATTTTGTGAATGGTAGCAAAGACAGTTTGGATGGTTTAATTATATTAGGGTAGATCATATTAGATTAGGAATGATTAATCATACAGTATAATAATGCTTTAGTCCCAAAACCATTGGAAGACTCTGCATAAAGAACTTCTGTCTCATTGTGTATACATTTACTCCTGGCATTTCCTAACAAAGACTTTTTTATTCTTTGTGACAAAACATCAGGAGTAAAGTTGTCTCTCTGACCTTGTCTTTCCTTTGGTATGGGCACCACCTAATCATTTGTCCAAATAAATTTACATTTTGTTTAACCAAAAGAAGAGTTTTAGTGTTATGTCCCCCAAGGTTAACACTGTACAGTATACTACATGTTCCTTGGTTAAGACAACAGGATTCTTGTGGGCTGGTTCAATTTTACATCTTTTGTTTATTAACAGTTTACATTACTACCAAAACTTTTATACTCCCATTCTAAACAAATAACAGGATGTACAAATATTATAGTACTATACAGTGTATACAGTACATAGGTCTATCCATCCATCTGGATGTTTTTTTATTTTTGTTCAGATGCTTACTTTCAGGGAAATAGTTACAGTAGTACAGTACAGGCAGTCCCCGAGTTATGAATGGCTGACTTACGTTCACCCGCACTTACGAACGAGATCCCAATATATTTCATCACAATAATCTGTAAATAAAATCCCATTTTTTACATTAATTTCATAATTCCATATTGTTTAACATCACTTTATTTACATTATTTGTTATGTATGGGATATTATTGTTGTTTTGTATGGGCAAAGTTGTGCTTTAACCTTACCAAAACTATGGAATTAACACTGTTCCGACTTACGAACAAGTCGTCTTACAAACAGTGTCCAGGAACATTACCTGTTTGTATCTCAGGGAGTGCCTGTATTTAATGAAACTTACCTTGAATATATATTTTCATTAGACAATATACAGAACACTGAGTTGGAGGCTCTATCAAAAGTCAAGCTCACAGCTATAGGTTAAGAAACAGATTTGCCTGCTACAACTGCCTACTGTAGCACAGTACATTTACAGTCAACCAAAGATGCATTGACCCCACCCAGGCTCTTGTATTCACAATTTTACCTTGCAATACTTGGTGAAGTAAGGCAGTACAGTATGTAATTGTGATAAGTGGATCTATTTTCGACTATCACTTTCAGGATAAATATTCAACAATCCAAAGGTCGCATTTTTATAATAATAAACTAATTATTGTTATTTAAATCATGAGAAGTTTCCAAATGTTTGTATATTTGCTTAAATAATGAAATAAAAATTGATGTGAGAATCTTGTGGCAGCCCTGGTTGTAGTGGATTTGTCAATTCATAAATACTATCGGTATCCGTCATTAAGCGATCATTCACTTTGATAATTCGATTTAGCGATTTAAAATTTCAAACACCCCTGTTTATTTAACGATGTGCAATTGTTCTGTTTAGCGATATTCTGCTCACGGAAAAATTCAGGAGGGAAGTCGAAAAAATGGAGATTCTTTGCTCCAGTGGGCATCTCTACTGAGCGGGCGCTGTGGGTGTACAGTATATGGGTGGGTGTGGGCGTGATGAGAACATGATGAGCAATAGCGTAAAAGTAGCGGCAGGTTGGATGGACGGGCAGAAGAGGAGGATTGACGGCATAGCGGCGAGACACCTTAGGCAGGTGGGGAGGGAGCCAAGTAGAGGTCATGTGTATGTGTGTGTGCTCCCTGCCTGCCTCTACCACCACCACCATCATTGCCGATAACATAGTCACATGCCTATCCTAAAAATTGCCCCAGTGAATAATATCTACCTATTTGAGTAAAATAAATAGTAAAATAGGTGTAGAATGTAAGGTATTTTATGTCACTGATGTCTGAAACTCACCACGCATGTTTGCTGTGCCACAGAGGCCTCTCTCTGAGTCACACTCCATTTACAATTGCCATATGTAAGTAAATAAAAAAAATAGAATTCCATTTTTCTATTCACCTACCAATCCAGTATTATATAAGCACGAGTCTAATGTTAAAAAAAGGTGGAAAGAACAAAATAAAGTGGTATAAAATAAATGCCGAGTGTGATATATCTCCTGGTTCACTTTGAGATCGTGGCAATTTTGGATTTTCAAGACTTGCACTAAGCCACTTGGAAACGGAGCTGCTATATAAGATACTAAATATGAATCAGCAAACCTGACTTTTAGAAATGATTTTAGAAATCATTATCTAGCTTTTGCAGCAAAAAACAGAAATAAATTTTGGGGTAACCAGAGGTTGTACATATCTAGATTTATTACCGTATATAGAAATCACGTACTGTAGGGGTATGCTACCAGCCCGCCACCTAAGAACCCAGGCCATTAATACATTAGTGTTTACCTTGCCTTTGAACATTGCGATCTGTGCATTACTATATTGCTCTGTGTATTATTATCGATTGCTTTGCATCGTTCCTATTGCTGTGCATCGTTCCTATTGCTGTGCATCGCTGTTATTTTTGTGATTTTGGCATGTTATTGATTACTGTACACACTGTTCATTACCTTATATTGTTGTAATATTGCATACTAAAGTGATGCCCCTCCCTCTCTCTCTCTCCGCTCTTTTTGGGTAACAGGCAGACCAGGTAAGAACTGTTTACTGTATTCCCTTTATGTTTTTTATCTTATGATTTTTTTTTTTTATCATATTCGCCACTTATCAGCTTACTAGCTGTTTGGGCGGTTTATCCAGTGTTAGTACAGGAGGAAACCGGGGGGACCGGGAAACCTGTGGTGTTTGGTTGGGTCACACTGGATAACACCCTTCTCACGTGTGTCCAGGCCAAGGCTCGAACCCTTGACATATTGGTGACAGTTATGCGCGTTACCGCTGTACCATCAACACATTTTGTATGAGCAAATGTGTATGCATGTAACAAAGTATAGTATAAGAAAATGGAGAAAATTTTGCATATCTACCCAAAATTGCGAGTTGAGCAACAACAGCTCACAGCTCAGCTTCACACACTCTTGAGTGCTACTGGGTGGCAAGTCGGTTCAGTCGGCGACTCAGCTACACAATAACGTGCCATCTCCATGGATATTATTCCTCGTTATCCTTTGTTCAAGATATTATTTCTGATTTCTCTCCGTTCAGTGTTCAAATCACTTAGCGATCTGTTTTCAGGAATGCATCCTGATCTCTAAACAATGCATCCCTGTATACTGTACTGTAATTTCTTCATTATTTAAGGAAATACATGCACATTTAGAAAAACAGTAAAACCTCGATTAACCGACCCTCGATTAACCGACTCGGATTAACCGTCAATCCCGGACGCCTAATGTTTTTTTATTTTTATTTATTTTTTTTATTTTTTTTTTACGGGGATTAGCCCACCCGGGCACAGGTCACTGACCCACATCGGGGCCGGGGGGGGCGATAATGTAATAATATTAATAATGATAATAATAATAAAAATAGTAATACATAAAGAACCATAAAGAAATGCAAAAATGAAAAAAAAATCAAGAGTGAGAAACAATGTACAGGTAGTTCTGCTATAACGCGATAATTGTGTTCTTGTAAAATATCGTGTTATAGAAAATCGCATAATAGAAATAACAGGGCTTATGGAGAAAATAGGGTTAGGTGCAGATTACTCGAAATCGAAAAAATTTAGTAGTTAGCCTAACACAAAGGATAGCACAGTCTAAATAAATGTTACATTCATATCTAATAATGAAATCATACAGTAAATGTAACACTTTACTTGATGGGGGAGAAGGGTGATTTTGAGGTTGATAAAATCGAGCTTCTCTTCATGTGTTATATCCTTTCTTTTATGATCATCACCGGGAATTCTATCACCAAAACGCTTCTTGTTCATATTCTTCTTTACTATACAGTGACCCCTCGTTTAACGAACACCTCGGTTAACGTAATTTCGATTAATGAACTGCCTTCCATAAGGATCTTCAATTCGGTTAACGAAAAAAAATTCGGTTAACGAAGTTCTTACGAACCGACCTCAACATGTTTTCGCTTGCACTGACCGGGCAACCAGCTTTAGTATCAGTCCGCCAATACATTAATCGGTTCTAGGGCTTAAATTCCTTACTATTTTAGTAAATATCAAGAAGTTTATACTATTCAATAATTTTGAAAGTTTAATATTCAATTTTTTAGTCATTTTAACAATTATTGAACATAACTGAAGGTAAAGTGACTAGTTTAATGCGCGGCATCCAGCCTCTTAACACAGCAAACAGGAGTTAGTCTCTCTCTGTTTTCACTGGAGGTAACATCTTGCTTGAGACTCTCTTCAACTAAACGCTTTTTTCTGTGTTTCCAAGCAAATTATTGGTCATTTTGAAATATATTTTACATATTGACAATATATAATGCAGTGCAGTGTTGATTTAAAGAAAATAATCTTGAATTACACCAAGAGAGCTAAAATTTTATGGGTGAAATGGTGCCATGGGGTGACTTCTCTTCCACCCCAATGCCTTCTCTTCTTCCTTCTCCTCCACCCCCATTCTAAATCCCATCATCATCATCATCATCCAGGAGCCTTCTACATACACACCTCAAAATAAGTGAACTTTTCTACCATTTTTGTTGAATTTAGGAAATTTTCGGTGAGCTGGAACCAATTACCCAAAAACCCATTGAAACAATGGTTTCGGTTAACGAACTTTTCGGTTAACGAACGACCTTCTGGAACGGATTGAGTTCGTTAACGGAGGTCACTGGTTAATACTACTAACGAACGGAATATTCCTATAACGAACGGTTTTACCTATAAAATTGAGAATGCTATAACGAACGAAACTCCTACAACGAACATTATTTAAATTTTTTTTTTTTTTTCTAATTTATTGTTTTTTTATTACAAATATTAATGATATTCTTTATTTCAGGGGTTTAGATGCATATTTATGCACTTTTTTACAATTTTTACAATTTTATATTATATTTTTCAGTGTTAAGTGGTTGTATTTGGGGGCCTGGAACGGATTAATCCTATAACGAACGAATGCTATAACGAACAAGGTTCTAGAACCAATTAGATTCGTTATAGCATACCCCACTCTACCACAAAATTGGAGAAATAGTAAGCAAAAATCGCGTTATATCAAACAAGCGTTCGCGTTATACAAATATCGTTCCTAATTCATAAATCGCGTTAGAGCAAATTCGCATTATCAAAACTCGCGTTATAGCAGAACTCACTGTTCCTGTATGTATGTTGTGTTGTCAATAGTAAGAGAAACAATTGAGACCCTGCAATTGTGTGTAAATGAGGCAGAAAGTCAGATCAGCAACCTGAGACTTGGTCACAATTTTTGTGATAACATGTTCTTTGACTTTTCCATTTTTTATTCACGGTTTCTGTGCTGGTTCATATTTATTTACTAAAGTGGGTAATGTTTTAAAGCAAATTCTATTGAAACATGAATGGCAAATGAACAAAAATGAATAGAGGGACTAAAATGAGGTAGGTTAGGGAAAGGTACTTTGAAAATGTATGTTTTATTTCCATAGACTTTATGTACTACTGTACAGTATTAACCGACCTTTTGGATTATCCGTCAGCCCCTTCCCTCCATAATTATGCAGTCGGTTAATCGAGGTTTTACTGAATTTAATGATCTTAGCTAACAATGAATAGTTAATTATTATAAAAATGTTACCTTTGGATTATTTAATATTTACCCTAACGGTAATACAGTGGTCCTTCGGTTAACGAACTGTTCGATTAACGAAATTTCGGTTAACAAATTACCTCCCATAAGGATCTTCAATTCGGTTAACGAACAAAACTTCGATTAACGAAATCCTTACAAAAAACACGTTTTGTTGTGAGCATCACCTGATCAGTTGATGGGCTAGTCTGCCAATTCTTTATCTGTTCTATGTTTACATTCGTTTTCAGTGGAGTAAATATCAAGGAAGTTGTGCTCTTTAATATTTTTGCATTTTTTATATTAAAATTATGAGTCATTTTAAAATTTAGTTAACATATTGATAATATATGCAGTACAAGGAACTAGTTTTTTGTGCGCCCATCAGCCGCTTGACTCGGTCACCAGGCGTTAGTTTGGCTTTGTTGACAGTGGAGTGAACATCGATTTTGTTGGTATCTTGAATATTTTTGCACTTTTACATTAAAATTATTGGTCATTCTGAAATTTAGTTAACATATTGATAATATATAGTGCAGTGCAGTGTTGATTTAAATAAAATAATCTTGAATTACACCTAGTGAACTTAAAATTTTATTGGTGAAATTACTGCATCAAGCATGGGTCCCCTGAAAGGTGATTTCTCCTCCATCCCCACTTCCTTCTCTTCTCCCTTCTCCTCCACCCCCACTTCTAATTCCCATCATCATCATCATCAACCAGGAGCCTTCTACATACACACCTCAAAGTAAGTGTATTTTAATGCATTTTTTTTTTACTTTGTATGTACTTTTCTATGAGCAGGAACCAATTACCCATTGAAACAATGGATTCGGTTAACAAAATTTTCGGTTAACAAACGACTCTGTGGAACGAATTGTGTTTGTTAACCAAGGGACCACTGTACAGCCATAAATAGATCCACCGATCACATTCACCATTACATACAACCTTACTTCACCAAGCATTGCCAGGTAAATTTGTGAGTACGAGAGCCAGGGTGGGGTCGATGCATCTTTGGTTGACTGTAACAAATATAGGCAGATTTTGATGGAACTTGGATGTAAATCAAGGTCTCAGAAAAGTTTGTTAATCAGTACTGTACTGTATTTTACCTTCATATTTTGGGGCGATACACCATTTGTTTTCAATCTGGGAGGAGACTGTAGCGTGTTTGGTCAACTTGATACCTTTTGGCGAGTCTTAAGATCTACACTAAAGAACTTATTTATAAACTTAATAAACACCACCCATACAAGTATCAAAGATTTACCCAAATTTATTTTTTGTTTAACATTTAGACAATTGTAATTGAGATGAGACGCTCTATACTGTATATACTATACAGTACAGTATACTGTATATCGGGCAACCATATTTATGCCAAGACAACGCAGCGGGAGATCGCACAGAGATATAATTTGGTGTGTCAGCAATGCATGATCATTATAGTTGGCCTGTTTAAGGAAAAAGCATGATGGGTGTAAAGGACTGATATTGTGCAGTGAATGAAATAACAAAACCATGAATAATGAAATATGCTTCTTTTAGTAATTCTGGCATAATGGATCTTTCTTGTGTAAATAGAATATAAACTTGAGGAGAACAACCTGTGTCATGTATTTGATGAAATAGAAAATGGTGCTGCATCACAGTTTACTAAATATAATTTGTGTTTTCAACAGCTGGGTTCCACATCTTAAAGCTCCACGAAAATGTGAATTAAACTGTCAACCTGAGGGGGAAAGATTTTACTATCGTCATGCACTCAAGGTTGTGGATGGAACACGCTGTGACAGTGAAAGTCGAGACATCTGTGTTGATGGCAAGTGTATGGTAAGCATTATAAGGTCTTTTTTTTCATATCTTATTAAATATAGATTAACCCTTTTGCTGGCCACTTCCCCAGTCCAAATCTCGCCCATAGACTGGCCAATGGCACTTTCTGAATAGAAAGCAGGGAAATCACTATACAGTAAACCTTCTAGTTTGGCAACTTTCTGTTTGCCGAATTCAAAGTTGGTGGTAAAAATTCAAAGTACCTAGCCCTCCATTATGGCGACCAAACCATCACCTTTGGTGAGAGTTTAAATTTAAATGCAATCACAACTAATAATTGTAGAATAATAAGTGCAAGATGTGAGTAAGGCGCGTGGACCGGACGGAATACCCTCTCGTGTTCAGAAGGAGTCTGCTGAAACTCTGGCCCCTGCGCTTGCTCGCCTCTTTTGCCTCTGCCTAAAAACCCAAACTTTTCCTTCTTCTTGGAAGCATGCCTTGGTTCAGCCCATCCCGAAGAAGGGTGACCATTCTAATCCCTCTAACTATCGCCCCATTGACCTAACTTCATCCCTTTCTAAGATTTTTGAAACTATCTTGAACTCTCATTTTCTCCGTCACCTTGAACGCCTTTCTCTTTTGTTGGATCACCAGTATGGCTTTTGCCAGGCGAGATCTGCTGGTGATCTGCTCTCCTATTGCACCCATCTTTGGTCATCCTCTCTTAGGGATTATGGGGAAACTTTCGTCATGGCCCTCGACATCTCCAAAGCATTTGACAGGGTATGGCACAAGTCTTTGCTTTCTAAACTTCCCTCTTATGGTTTCTCTCGCCCACTTTGTTTTCTAATCTCTAGCTTCCTTGAGAACCGATCCATGGCAGCTGTTGTCGGGAGATCGATCTCTCGCTATTTCTTCCAATAGTGGCGTCCCACAGGGTTCTGTTCTTTCACCTACTCTCTTTCTTCTTTTTATCAATGATTTTCTTCACACTACAACTAATTCTATCCATTCTTATGCTGATGATCCTACTCTTTACTCTTCTTCACATTTTCCCCTTTCTCCTACCTCTCAAACTAGATCTGTTTCTAAAGTTGATATCATTACATCTATCAATGCGGATCTGTGCAGCATCTCTGAATGGGGAGGTAGAAACTTGGTTAAATTCAATAGTAATAAAACTCAGTATTTACCAATTACACTTTCTAAATTAGATGATCTCCCACCAATTACATTTTAGGATGCTATCATTCTGCCAAATTCTGAAATAAATATGCTAGGCCTCACCATTTCCTCCAATATGTCCTGGAAATCACACATCCTTAACATAGCTAAAGCTGCCTCCTGAAAGTTGGGAATGCTGTACAGATGCCGTAGCTACTTCACTCCTGAGCAGTTGCTTCAAGTGTATAAGGAATTCATATGTTCTTACTTGGAGTACTGCTCTCATATCTGGGGTGGCACTTCTTATGTCCAACTGTGAGATAGGGTGGAATCAAAGGCATTTCGTCTGATTTTCCCATTTATAACTTCCAAATGATACAAATTCTGCCTTTATTGACCTGATTGTGCTTTCCTGAAACTAGTTTTTAGGCCTTCCTCAAGTAATTTAATCACACACTGCTTATCCTGCATCGAGTACTTGGTAAACTTAACCCCTTTATGATAGTCCCGCTTCTCCTTCTTCTTATTTGGTTGCTTAGGTGGGTCTGTCCCACCCCCACCAGCACCAGTAGGACTCCCAGTAGAGGTAGAGGCCATTATCTTGACTTGACAGGTGGTAGCACCACCCAAAAAAGTACACACTAAGAGCCCGGGCGGTCGCTAGGATGGCGCTGGCTACAACGCAATAGTAGCGTTCTTGTAAACCTCTTTTACGTTCACCACCAGCAATTTGATCACCAGAACGCTTCTTGGAAACATTCTTCTTACCTTGTCTTTCCATATTCATCGCTAACACAACAGAATTGAAGTATGCAGCGAAAATCACGGAGCAATCGACAGAAACCGCGCGATTCAACTGATCATGTGATGTAAACAGAGAGCGCTGGTGTAAACGATTATTAGTCTTCACTGTGAAACATTCTTTTTACTTATTCTTTTCATACAGTATTTATGGGTAACAGCTAAATTTGCAAAAAAAAAAAAACGAAATTTACAGAGTACCTCACAAAAATCACTTCACAAACAAAAGACACGAATCAATTGAACATGTGATGTCAAACGTGAACTGTAAACATTGCATAACCCCGCGCCGCGCTTAAAACGTTGAAGATGGAATCAAAACATTGAGGATGGAATCGTGCCATAGCCAACATTCGTATGCAAAAGTTTGCGTTTTACAAACAGCGTTCCCCTATTCATCAATCGCTTTACATCCAATTCGCATTGACAAAACACGCGATGTAGCAGAAATGACTGTAACTGGTATGAGGACTGTGACGTTGGCCAGCATTCAACTGACTGGATCTCAGGTTCAGCTGGCTGGATCTCGCGGTCAGCTGACTGGATCTCACGTTCAGCTGGCTGGATCTCGCATTCAGCTGGCTGGATCTCAGGTTCAGCTCACTGGATCTCGCGGTCAGCTGGCTGGATCTCATATTCAGCTGACTGGATCTCACGGTCAGCTGGCTGGATCTCTCGTTCAGCCGGCTGGATCTCGCATTCAGCCGGCTGGATCTCACGTTCAGCTGGCTGGATCTCACGCTCAGCTGGCTGAATCTCGCGTTCAGCTGGCTGGATCTCAGGTTCAGCTGACTGGATCTCGCGGTCAGCTGGCTGGATCTCGCGTTCAGCTGGCTGGATCTCACGTTCAGCTGGCTGGATCTCACGTTCAGCTGGCTGGATCTCTCGAAACTCACGATATTTTATGCCAAATATAAAACTTGGTTACATTAGGTAGTGCTCGCGAAATTCAAAAAGCGAAATGAAATCGCGCAAAATATGAGATCTTACTGTACTTATTTTATCAATAGGTTAGGTTTATTTTCTTTTTTCTTTTGTTGTTTAAGATAATTTTACTTCACAGTTTTAATCAAGTTGTAAACAGACTGCACCACATTCCTGATATGGATGTTTTATATTATTTTCATAAATTCGCACATGTTTCTTCTCTTTGGTGCCAGATTTTTATTTCAAATGAAATTCTTATGAATGATATGTCAAAAAATCTGATTAACAAGGTGTCATCCCTGTATCTACAGCTTTCTTGACAGCTTTGTTAATAACATCACCATATGTATAGTTTTTTTTTAAGTTTCATCTGAAAATTGTCTTACAGCAAGTTGGATGTGACCATATTTTGGGTTCGTCAGCACAGGAAGACAATTGCCGAGTATGTGGTGGTGACGGGTCTACCTGTAACACAATCACAGGAGATTTTATGCAGAAAACACTGACTGTTGGCTATAATGATATTGTACTTATACCAGCTGGTGCCACCAATATTTATGTTGAAGAAGTAAAGGCCTCTAACAACTACTTAGGTAAGAAGCTGGTACACAAAAATCTCTACATGGCAAATGTCATTACTACTGTACTGAATCGGTCTTGAAAATAAATGAGAGTCAAATGCATTGAACTCTGAATTTGTTGAAAATTACTCAAGAAATTTCTTTATAATTGTTAATTTGATTTTTTCAACAGCTGTTAGAAACATGACTGGTTTCTTTTACCTCAATGGGAATTGGAGGATTGACTTCCCAAGAGCAAGGAACTTTTGTGGTACTACCTTCCACTATGAGAGGAAAGCTGATGGTGTAGGAATCTTTGCTCCTGAGGTCTTACGAGCCAAAGGACCTACAACAGAACCCTTGTTCATAGTGGTAAGTGGTAGAATTATTTGCCACCCTCTTTGACACATGGTATGGAAGAAAGGGGAATGGAATGGGTTATTTATGATGAGCTTAAAGGAACTAAGGTGCTGCAATTTAGAACTAAATTTTTTAATGCCTTTATACAATGTACTTAAATGAACGTTATGAAAACTTTAGGGGAGAAGAGGTAAAAGAATGAAGGGAGCTGTCTTATGAATTCATCTAAAGTAAAGATCACTACAGACACTATCGCTTAACTGAAATGAAAGGATCAGCAATACATTTTCCTAAAAGAACAGGCACCAATTTTATTACAGTTCAAATAGAACTTGTTGTGTCACATTATGATACGTACAGTACTGTATATTGCACAATGTGAATAAAGTTGAGGTATTAATTAACTTGCTGGTCAAATGAGTTTCATATTATTTACTCAGTAATATAGAAAAATACAGTATGTTAACCAAGGAGTATAGGTATTTGCTTATGTAACTATTTTTATTATTCTGGATATTAGAAAACTAATATGTACTTACACTAGGTTGCAAAATATTGTTGTCTTATTTTGACTAAAATAAAAACAAGTTTATTTCATAAATACAGTACATACCGGCATTTGTTCCCTTACTTTTGTTCTTTTAATTTTGTATACCCATTGTAATACTGTATCTATGAAGCAGCCTCCTAACTTTATTTTATTTTTAACAATACATAATGGATGAATTTCTTATCCAGTTCAAATTTGACCCAAATCCCACAAGGTTTAGCCATACAGGTATTTGTATTTATAAATTTTTTCAGATTTTATATCAAGAGAGTAACCCAGGGATCACATACGAGTACAGTGTTCCCAAGGAGGTAACACAATCTGAAGCAGAAACTTATGATTGGCTCTTTGGAACATATGGAGAGTGTTCTGTGGAATGTGGTGGTGGTGAGTAATAATAAAAATAATTACTGTCATACCAAGGTGTCAGTGTTCGTTTGTTTCCTGATTACAGTATAAGTCCAAAAACCCGGACTGCTTGGGGATTGGGTCGGTCCGGATTTTTGGATTTTCCGGATTCTCAGGCAGTACTTTTAAAATTCAAATTTCAGGAGAAATAAAGAAGAGATGAACAGGTACATTTTGATAGTTTATTCATTAGCAAATATAGCATGCTTCATTTATCTAAAAGAGCAGTTTTAAAGATAAAGCTGTGAATTCTAAAATTTTATTCTTTGCCTTTTTTATATCATAAATTGTAGACTTTCCAATGTTATATGTTTCCATTAGAACAGTATTGCTCACACCACGTTCTAGTTTCTTAATTATTTCAAGTTTGTCACTCAATTTCAACGTGTTCTTCTTTCTCTTTACACAACGAAGTTTATATACTTTAGGAGCCATTATTATGGGCTTGTACAGTACTCTGTAAATGGAATGAGTAGGATTCAAAATTACATACGTTGTCACAGTTTGATTGCTCGTTTTAAAGTGGCGACCGCGTGGTCGCTGTGCAGCTGTGGCGCTCACGCATGCACACAAAAGCCAGCTAAAAAAAAAAAAGTTAAGTTTGAGTTTTCGAAAAGTCCGGATTCTCAGGTGGTCCGGATTTCTGGCATCCGGATTTTTGGACTTTTACTGTATTATACTGTACAGTATTTTTGAAGATTTCCTCTAACAGTCGACTATCTGTCAACTGAAAATCTGCTTTACAAAATAATATTTTTTATGGAAGGATTTGAGCGTTCTAAATACTACTATGAATTTTAAGTACACAGAATACCTGTTAATTTAATTTATTTAATTTTCTCCATATTATATGAGAGTAAATGAGGAGAAATTGGACATTCATGCTATATTGCCCTTTAGTGTGGTCACTTAATTCTAGGGATACTTTACTTACTTCTTAACCAAAGGTCGCTATGTTTTTTTTAGGTAGCTGGCAAAGCAAACCAGGCACTGTGAGTTTGTGTTTTTCATTAATCAAGTTGAGAGTGGCAGGAAGGGTAAAACACCAACCAAGATTTTAACTTATTTATTTCTTAATATAAAAATATTGCATTCAGTCACAATAACTAATTAAGGACTTCTCTCTCCATACCAAATCGTTGACCTCCTTACCGAGGTCATTCCTTCCCAATATCACCCAAAAATACTCAATAGCACCAACATATTCGATAGCACAGTAATACACTCAATACATACAGGTACTGCAGCTCATTCTTAGCACCAAGGTCCACACAATAAGTACCCTTTTCACACACACTCCTGTTAAGTAGATGAGATCCTTTCCAGGGATTTATACCAAGACTGTTTCTGCATCCGGTATCATTAGGTTGCTCAAAGTGAAGACCACTAGCACCTCAAATAGAGCCATCATTTCTATCTATCCAGGGTATTGATCTGTGGGATGTCCAGAGATTCATAGTCGCCATAAGCATTACCCACAACACCAGGTGGGTTCCTCATGGTAGAGCAGTAGTTGCTGGGCCAAGCATTTCCTCCGACCTCACTGGTCTCCCTCCGAGGCAGAGGGCAGATTATTGGCCCTCACCTGTATCACTTGTATCAATTGTATCACTATCCACCACAGAGGCTTGCAGGGCCTCTGTCAAACCCCTCAAAGTCCATATAAGTCCATATCCTCACTATCATTATCACTATCACTGACTTGGGCCAGCTGTGGCGGGTGGCGGGTGAAGAACTCGGTAATGTTTTGATGACTGGGCGACCTTGTGCGCACCCTGCTCGCGCCGCTCTCCGCGTAAAAGGGTACACACACCACGGAAAATGAGCATCCCGTGTTCGGCAGGGTACCGCGTAATCGTGGAAACGCGTAAAGTGGGACCGCGTAAAGCGAGGGTTGACTGTACAGTCAACCCTCACATTCCGCGGTGGGTGTACCCCTTTACACGGGTGAAGTATAATTTTTTTATTTAGCTCATAAAATTCATACAAATTATCCGGCCAGAATATAATTTACATTGCTGGAATTCTTACAATTTGATGATCATTTTGAATATAAACATCATAGATTTTGCATTAGACTTACAAATTTTAGATGTAATATTTACTCTGAGTAAATATGTTATCTTTTGTGAAAAATATATGACATTTATATTCAAAATATTCCTGGTCTTACAAGGAATCCAGCAATGTCAATTATATTATCCTAACTTTAGTCTGATTTATTATTTATTACTAAAAAGGTAAACAGTCTGGTATTCCCACACATTTATCTGGTAGGGACGGTTGGTGGGGGGTGGGGGGGGAGGGAGGGACCGGCGACCGACCACCTGGCATGTGTGAAGAATATTTTTTTTTTTTATTAACTGAAGATTTTTATTTTAGCTCATAAAATTCATACAAATTACCCGGCCAGAATATAATTTACATTGCTGGAATTCTTACAATTTGATGATCATTTTGAATATAAACATCATATATTTTGCATTAGACATAAAATTTTTAGATATAATGTTTACTCTGAGTAAATATGTTATCTTTTGTGCAAAATATATGACATTTATATTCAAAATATTCCTGGTCTTACAAGGAATCCAGCAATGTCAATTATATTATCCTAACTTTAATCTGAGGTATTATTTAATACTAAATGTTAAAATCTAGTTTTTTCACCCACTCTTTCTCTTGAAGGGAGGGTTGGTGGGAGGTGGGGGGGAGGGTTGGGACAGACTGACCATCTGGCTGGTTGGAAGAGGGGGGGAGGCAAGGTGGGGTACTTTGATTGACAGATAGTGTCGTGAAGAATATTTTTTTTTTTTATTAACTGAAGATATTTGTTTTAGCTCATAAAATTCATACAAATTACCCGGCCAGAATATAATTTACATTGCTGGAATTCTTACAATTTGATGATCATTTTGAATATAAACATCATAGATTTTGCATTAGACATACAAATTTTAGATGTAATGTTTACTCTGAGTAAATATGTTATCTTTTGTGAAAAATATGACATTTATATTCAAAATATTCCTGGTCTTACAAGGAATCCAGCAATGTCAATTATATTACCCTAACTTTAGTTTGAGGTATTATTTATTACTATATCTGGTTTTCCCCCAAAATTTCTCAGAGGGAAGAGCCAGTGAGTGTACTGTGAGAAGAGGGGGAGGGAGTGGAGTCCATTATTTGAATGGACATTAACTTGGCGACTGTATTTCTCTATTTCTCTTAAGTATTAATTGTGTGCATGTACCATCATAAAATTAAGATGTTATTTTTGCTAGAACATAGGTATTGTGTTGGAAAAAGTGGAGTTTGGGGGTCAGCTGGTCTCTATTTCATTTAATCCCATATGTTATGTTATTCACTTTACGCGTTTCTCACTTTCCGTGGTACCCTGTGGGTTACATTAACCGCGTAAAGTGAGGGTTGACTGTATATATATATACAGTATATAAATATATATATATATATATATATATATATATATATATATATATATATATATATATATATATATATATATATATATATATATATATATATATATATATATATACAGTATATATATATATATATATATATATATATATATATATATATATATATATATATATATATATACAGTATATATATATACAGTGGGGTATGCTATAATGAATCTAATTGGTTCTAGAACCTTGTTCGTAATAGCATTCGTTCGTTATAGGATTAATCCGTTCCAGGCCCCCAAATACAACCACTTAACACTGAAAAATAAAATATAAAATTGTAAAATTTGTAAAAAAGTGCATAAATATGCATCTAAACCCCTGAAATAAAGAATATCATTAATACTTGTAATAAAAAAACAATAAATTAGTAAAAAAAAAAATTAAATAAATAATGTTCGTTGTAGGAGTTTCGTTCGTTATAGCATTCTCAATTTTATAGGTAAAACTGTTTGTTATAGGAATATTCATAGTAGGATCCATTCGTTATAGCATACCCCACTGTATATATATATATATATATATATATATATATATATATATATATATATATATATATATATATATATATATATATATATATATATATATATATATATATATATATATATATATATATATATATATATATATATATATATATATATATATATATATATATATATATATATATATATATATATATATATATACACAATATTACCCATATAGCAGTTTTCACTTATATATTTTATCATATCTTGTGATTGCCTGGCAAATGAACTTTCACTTAACAGTTTTTTTCCGTATCTGTGATGGTATCGGCTCCAAACGCTATTTTAGATTGCCCCACCCGCCACTACCCGACTGCCTGTTTTAGCTCATAAAATTCATACAAATTACCCGGCCAGAATATAATTCACATTGCTGGAATTCTTATAATTTGGTGATCATTTTGAATATAAACATCATATATTTTGCATTAGACATACAAATTTTAGATAAATTTTTTTCTCTGAGTAACTATGTTATCTTTTGTGCAAAATATATGACATTTATATTCAAAATATTCCTGGTCTTACAAGGAATCCAGCAATGTCAATTATATTATCCTAACTTTAGTTTGAGGTATTATTTATTACAAAAAGTTAAGTATTCTGGTTTTCCCACACATCTCCTTGGGACGGTTGGTGGGGGGGTGGGGGGGAGGGAGGGACCGACCGACCATCTGTTACCCAGTGAAGAATATATTTTTTTTTTTATTAACTGAAGATATTTGTTTTAGCTCATAAAATTCATACAAATTACCCGGTCTGAATATAATTTACATTGCTGGAATTCTTATAATTTGATGATCATTTTGAATATAAACATCATATATTTTGCATTAGACATACAAATTTTAGATAAAAAATTTTCTCAGAGTAACTATGTTATCTTTTGTGCAAAATATATGACATTTATATTCAAAATATTCCTGGTCTTACAAGGAATCCAGCAATGTCAATTATATTATCCTAACTTTAATCTGAGGTATTATTTAATACTAAATGTTAAAAACTCTTGAAGGGAGGATTGGTGGGGGGTGGGGGGGAGGGTTGGGACTGACCGCGCGGTTGGAAGAGGGGGGGAGGGCAAGGTGGGGTACTTTGATTGACAGATAGTGTCCTGAAGATTATTTTTTTTTTTATTACTTGAAGATATTTGTTTTAGCTCATAAAATTCATACAAATTACCCGGTCAGAATATAATTTACATTGTTGGAATTCTTATAATTTTATGATCATTTTGAATATAAACATCATATATTTTGCATTAGACATACAAATCTTAGATAAAATTTTTAATCTGAGTAAGTATGTTATCTTTTGTGCAAAATATGACATTTATATTCAAAATATTCCTGGTCTTACAAGGAATCCAGCAATGTCAATTGTATTATCCTAACTTTAGTTTGAGGTATTATTTATTAAAATTTAGTGGTTTTCCCCAAAAAATTTCTCTGAGAGGGAAGAGCCGGCAGTGTAGTGTGAGAGGGGGAGGGAGTTGAGTCCATTATTTGAATGGACATTAACTTGGCGACTGTATTTCTCTATTTCTCTTAAGTATTAATTGTGTGCATGTACCATCATAAAATTAAGATGTTATTTTTACTACAACATAGGTATGTGCCTTCAAAAAGTGGAGTTTGGGGGTCGGGCCGGTTTCTATTGGAATTAATCCCATATGTTCTGTTGTTCACTTAACGGGATTTCACTTAACACAGGACCCTCTGGGTTCAATTGACCGCGTTAAGTGGGGTACAACTGTATATATATATATATATATATATTATATATATATATATATATATATATATATATATATATATATATATATATATATATATATATATATATATATATATATATATATATATATATATATATCAGTGGCGTGTCGTGAGAAAATGCTGAGATGAAGCAGAGTAGTAGTGACAACCTTGTAAGGATCACGAGGATCTGAGGGTTAACAGTAAGATCTGCAGTCTGTGATCTGAGATTCTTTGGATCTGTGTATTATATATATATATATATATATATATATATATATATATATATATATATATATATATATATATATATATATATATATTGCACTGGACGATGCAATTGATGTTAACAATGATAGTAAATGGTGATGTTTAATTATTCTAGGTCACATGACACGAAATGTAACTTGTGCAAGAACAAGTGACTTCCAGGCAGTTGCTGAATACCTGTGTGATCCACGACTTGAGCCTGTTTCAAACAAAACATGTAATGATCATCCATGTCAAGCAAGGTTAGTAAAAGGAGGGGATACATATACAGTACTGTATTTGAATACTTAGAAAGTAATGTTGCTTACACACAGGAAGATAAAGTATTAGATGGTACAGTATAGTAAAGTGGTGGTAGAGCGGTACCGCTCTTGCCTCGCAAGCAAGATGTCACGGGTTCGATTCCTGGGCTGGCAAAAGTTGTTTGGACACTCTTCCTAGTCCCCTAACAGCAAAGTAGGTACCTGCTGTAAATCGAAAGTTGTGAATTTGTATTTAGGGACAAGTTGTTGGAGCTTCCAATATCTTGCTTAGACATAAACCATTGACTTTTCAGGCTTCTGCGCCCTTAACTCATGAGACATAAGGCAAGCATGAACTTGGCATGCTTCCCTGTTGGGAGCTGTAAACGCTTCTGCGCTTCACCTTACACAAGGATGTAAGGGGGGTGCCCAATAAAAACAAAACAAAAAAAAAGTATGGTAAAGTCTTCACTTTGAAGGAAAATTGTCTCACTTTCTGCATACATTATTTTAGTCTCTCTAGAAATTAACATAAAATTAATATAAATTTATGTATCATTCTGTACAGCTGGCAATTTGAGGAGTGGACACCTTGCACGAGTTCATGTGGAACTGCTGGGTGGCAATTCCGTCATCTGTACTGTGGCCAGAAATTTGCAGAGGGACGGCTATCTATTGTAAATGATTCAGTATGTAATGCCCTCCATGGACCAAAGCCTCAGACTGTAAGAGAATGCAACAAAGATTCTGTATGTGCATCTTGGCATGTAGGAGAGTGGACACCAGTAAGTAACCAAATGTTTTGTGTACAATATTTTAATGTTTTGTTTGAATGTAAGAAAGACCTGTCATAGCTCTAGTGCTTAACTTTAAAGAAAAAAATGTGTTGTAAATCTTCAGTACAGTATATTTGTGATAGCTCTGTTGAGATTATCATTTAAAGGATTTGTTTTAGAAATTTTTATAAGATGCTGTAATTTGTTTTACTATATATTATGGCTAATGAATCCTCCAGTTGCTGTCTCCAGTAGGATAAATTCTTCCAAGCCCATCTCCAGAATTAAAAATATGTTATTCCTTACCTAAACACATTTTTTTGACTTTTAATTAATAATTTTTATTTTAAATATAAAAGCTAGATTTATAACTACAGATGATAACTTGAGACAATTAGTGTCTGTACGGCAGGCACCCTGCTCTTCAGAACTAAATCCTGTAGTAACTGTTTCTGAACATTTACAAGTGTTACTCTCTATTAATATCAGCAGGTCATGTTGTGTTGTGTCTGTTACAAAACGTGTTGACATTTGGCACGTTTTTGTTGAGCAGCAGAAATTGGACAGTGAATGCATAAGAACATCAAGATCGTTTGAGTGATGTGAATGTGTAAATTGATGTAGCTTTTTTTAAGTTATTCATGATTGTATATTGAAATGTTCTCCCTACTTCACTCGAGCTATAGGCTATGGGGATACAACCATAAAAACATTACCATATGCCAAGATTTATTTAGAAAAATTTAAATGAGGTGTGTTCATGGCTGTGACTGACCACCCATAGGACGATCAGAGAGTGTAGTACTGTGCCTTCAGCTAGGACAGTTCATAGTGTAAAAAAATAATTGAAGGAAGTAACACGCATGATTGCCGGGAACACAATATTGGTGCCACAAAATTAGTTTTTTTCTGTGTTTTCTTAAGGACTGTGGTGGTGTATATGATCCACCATTCATTGGGAGATACAGTGTACATATTGATAGTACATGGCAATACCAACAACCCACCGAGGAAAACTGGAAAAGAAAACAAAACATAAAATAACAGAAAAAATAACAACTAGCTGAACTGTCTTGGACGGCAACTCCACATGAATGAGGGTCTGCCACAAGGTCATGATCACTCACAAATCTTAGTTCACTTAGATTACAATAAGTAGGTGTAATTATAAAGGAAGTCATCCCAGAAAAGGGTAAATTCTTCCTCAGAATAAAGTGAGAGATTACAGAGGTTGGCATTACCCCCCCAAGCCACCTAGACACCAGACACCAAGGCCTGTGTAGAAATGCAGCTGAGTCGTGGGCTTTAAAAAGTCCTTAACACTTAAGTCCTATCATCTAGACACAAAGTAATTGTAATTGTAATAATAATAATAATAATAATAATAATAATAATAATATAAACAAAAACAATAATTATTAAGCCTACGGTTAGAATTATATCACATCGTAAAGTGGGCTTAAGGCTTAGAAGATTCTTACAGAGTCTTGCTATTAAATTGGACAAACGCTCACCTCGCACATCTCCCCTCAGGATTGCCAATGGCAACAGCTGTCAAGCAGTGTGTCCAACAGGTGAAAATATGTAAAAGAAAAGAAGAATGGGATAGTGAATGGGGGGAAAAACCCCAACATCACCAGGAAGTTTGTTGATATGCAATTACTGTAGTGTGACATCTAGGGAGGATTGTGTGGGTCTGAACAAAGCGGTGTTTAGGATGAAGCTGATTGCCGTAAAGTATGGAGGCTGTTACTGGTATTGCCCTAATGTAAAGCCAAAGTAAATGAGGCTATTGCAGAGCATAAGGGAAAAAGATACTTAGAGACAAAAATAGATGAACCTGGATCCTTGTTGGTTGCCAAACTAGAGCAAATTAGGAAGGGTATCCCCACTAAGACTGAGGAGGAGGCTGCCAAGCTAGGGCACGTTGGGTAGGATATCCTCAGTAAGACTGAGGAAGTTGCTGATAGAATAGAGGGAGTAGTTAAGAGGAGCTATGCTCGTTGCAGCAGGGGCACAGAAGATGACAGAGAATAATGTAGGACTCAAACAGGTCCTGTAGCAGCTAGGGACTCTGCAGAAGAGTGTTGAAAAGATGACAACTAGTAGACCTACTGATATGGGAGAGGAGGAACACCGGGAACTATTCGAGCACAGGAACAATATAATAGTGTTTGGAGTTCCTGAGAGTCAGTGGGAGGAAGCTGAGAGTAGGAATACACACGATAAGATGAAGTTTGAGAATATTTGTGATGTGGCTCTGAACCTGTCAGCTCTCCCTCATGAAGTGAGGAGGCTAGGACAATGGTAGGAGAATAAACCTCACCCCTTCAGGATCACATAGTAATGAGTAATGCAGAGGGAACAGCACAAAGAACTCCTGAAGTTTCTGAAGTACTGTAGAAGAGTGAAGATTTGAAGAGGAAAGGAGATGGACGTGGATGGGTTATATACAAAGGGAAAGTAGTGAAGGCAAGTACACCAGTACAGAACCAGGGGACAGTGGGACACCCCATCCACTCTACTTCTGACCCAAGAGGAGGCAAGTGTCATGTAAACAATGCCATCTCTAGCTACACTCCACAAAATACAATGATTTTAGTAAACGAGGCAGCTGCTAAGTATGGGGGGAGGCCAGAGTCACTACCAAGATCAGAGACGTTACCGAGGACTAATTCTGGCTTGAAAGTAATTTACATTAATACTGACACGTTCCTTGATAAGAGAGTGGAGTTTGAAATCCTACTCGAGATTCATCAACCCGATTAGTAAGTGTTGTATAACTGTTGTATAAGAGCAGGAGAATCGACTTGGAGGAATGTGAGTTCATTATTGATGGATATGACTCATTTACAAACCTTTCTCAAGCATCTTGCAAGAGGGGTGTGTTTATCTATGCTAGGTAAGACCATACAGTCAGCCAGGTGAGGGTGCTGCCTTGAAAACACCCTTCAAAGCGCTTGGATTTTCTGACTGGTAGACAAGCAAAGGTTTTAGTTTGTAATCCCCAGCAGCATTACCCCCCAACAGTATGGTCAGCCTCTCCTTGGCAGCTTTATACCCTGGTGCTGTTTTTTCATGTTTTGAAAGATATGTGCTTTTGGGCATCCTTTTCCAAAATAAACCAGTCTCATCAATATTAAAAACTTGCTCAGCACAATAATCTCCTTCTTCAATTACTTTAGCTAAAGCAGCAGGAAATTCACAAGCTACAACTTCATCGGCACTAGCTTCTTCACCTTGCACTTTAATGTTATGTGAGTTTGCCCTTGCCTTGAACCAGCCCCTACTAGCAACAAAATCTTCCCCATTAGATGCCATTGATTTTGATCTTCCACACTCATATGACTAACAATATTTCCATTTTAATTAACAATCCAATTCTTTGTTAAGTAATTGCAGTTGACTGCATTGGTGTAGATCCTTTAATATGTTCAAGCATTTTCTCTTTGTCTTTCAAAATTGTTTTAACCGTTGAGCGACTGAAGTCCAACGCCTTACCGATCACTGAATTTTTTCATCTGTATTTCTTACAAATGTTGTTTGAAGTAGAAAAATTATTAAATAACACATGAAAGGTAGGTGGTATGGTTTATGAAAACTGGGTAGATACACATTTTTTAATTATTTTATTTTTTTTATTATGTTACATGCCCACTGATCCTACATACCGATTGTTAAAAAAAAAAAAAAAAAAATTAGGTCAAAAGCATAAAAGGGAATAATTTTTTTTTTTGTGTATTAAGAGGAGTGGGTAGTTACAATTCAAGATGTTCTGAGTTGTCTCCTAGGTGTTGTGAAATGATTGACAAATTTCACTGCCCAGCAGCCAAATAGAAATCCAGTATTTTTTTTATTAGATTTATAGGTACTGTACCTGTACTATTTTTATTTTTCCTCCCATTTTCTGGTATATATGATTTTAAGAAAACTATGACTGCTGGAGGAAAATACACACCCAGGTTTTTTTCCGAAGTATTCACTGTTGAAATGGTGGGTGCATCTTTTATACCTGTTTGTCATATATGCCATAAAATATAGTACTGTATATGGTAACTAAACCTGAAATATAGATACAGTAATGTACTTTATATCACAACTAGTTCCCATTGATATTGTCCCTTTATGATTATTTGACCTTAACTGTTCTTGGGGGACTGTACCATATTTTGTGGAAAAACTGTAATAGATTCAGTAATATTGTTTATTTTGGGTTGACCTGAGAAAATGCTTAATATTACAAGATTATCTTACGAGCAAAAAGTGTTATACTATACTGTACTAACAAAATGTATCTCTGCAGTGCAACAAGTTATGTGGTGTTGGCCATCAGTTCCGGAAAGTTAGATGCCATGTGAGATCTGGCAGTGATATCAAAGTCTTAGATGACACTGTCTGTTCAGAAGAGAAACCTGAAAAAGAGAAGCCCTGTGAAGGTATTCCATGCAGCGGTGTTGACTGGGTAGCTTCTGACTGGACAGGGGTAGGTTTATTGTACCAGCTTTGATTCTCAGTCGTTTTTATCCAGTCATGTTCCTGCTTCATTTTGGTGAATTTTAGTATTAAACTGTAGAATTTTTTTTTATCCATATTCCATTTGTCAGATATTTGCATGTTTAAAGAATTTTTACAAACGTATTAAAAAAAATGACTTTAATACTGCATGATATTTAGAAATCATCATCACTGACATTTTATGACCATTTTCCACATTTGGCTGTGTTAGTTGATAATATTTAGGAATGAAGTTGTGTTGAAGTACCTCTGATCCTTTTGTAGATTCTCATTTCTTGACAAAACATATGTGCATCACTTTATTTATAGGTAAACCAATTTATAGAGTAGAAACCCTCACTAAATTATGAAATATTTGTACTGCTCCTCAACACCTGAAGTACTGGGTATGTGAGAAGAACATGCACATGCTACCATTTTTTGGAAGGCAGGAGTATTAAGGGTAAGGTGATATACTTATGGTACAGATACTTGTATACTGTACTGTAATTAGTCCTTGGCAATTACTCAATATTACTGATGTATTTGAAAATTACAGTAATTTGTATTCTAGTTCTGAAAAAAAGTTTAACCTGAACAAAATAAAAAATTGAAATCATAGATGGACTTAATGCTATATCAAAGAGTCAGAAGTTAGTTAAAAAACAAAACTTAATCTCAAATTGAAGTTGAATGAATAAAATTGTCAAAACTGGATTTTTACTTTTACCTTGTACTGATGGATAGAAAAAAGAAATACCTCTATAATATAATTACAAACTATAAGAGTGTTGCCAACTAGAATGAGAAGTCTAATAATTTTTTTTTCCTTTTTTTAAGTATTTCAGCCAACTCCAGAAATTAGTGAAGCCTCATATATTACCACCTATATACTGTAGATAATAATGGTGGGTGCATCTTATACTGTATACCTGTGTGTCATATATGCCATACAATACAGTACTGTATATGGTAACTAAATTTGAAATTTAGATACAGTAATGTACTGTATATCACAACAAGTTCTCATTGATATTGTCAATTTATGATGATTTGACCTTAGCTGTTAATGGGGATAGTAGTTAGTAGGCAGCTACCAAACAGGGAGGTACTACCGCCTGGGAAGATATTGGAAGCATAATGTGTTGTCTAATGGTAGACCCTGCTGCCATATGGCATCACGAAAATTGTGACCAAGTCCCAGGTTGCTGATCTGACTTTCTGCCTCATTTATACACAATTACAGGGTCTCAATTGTTTCTCTTACTTTGACAACACAACATATATCTTTTCTAACTCTTGATCTGTTTTATTATTTTCTTCTTTTATTCTCCTGTGATATCAGTTGACAGTACAGGGGCCCCCAAGTTTGCGGATTTTTATTTCATGGTCCTCGATTATTCATGGATGACACCCTGGATGTACCCAAGAATGTCTGTGGGTAGTTTTAAAGTTGCCAGCATATTCACGGCCGTGACAGGGAGCCATTCGATCTAGAGACAGTAATTTCCTTTTCCTCTATTGTAAATATGTATGTGTGTGTGTAGACACACACACACACAAAACACATACATATAAATAATAATTAGAAAATCCTCTCACAAATAATCCTAAACAAATTTATAAAAAATGTGACAGTCTACCCTCAAGTCCTCTACCTAGGGGATTTCAATGTACATCACAGAGAGTGGCTTGGCTCTGCAAGGGATGACCCAGGTGGAGCTGAGGCACTCTCTTTTTCCCTACGTAATGATCTGGAACAAATAATCAAACACCCTACATGTGTTCCTGATCGACATGATCAACTTAGTAACATTCTTGATCTTTGTTTTACCTCTAACCCCTCACACTATTCATACATCTTATTTTTATTAAATCAAAATGGGCACGACCACCTCCCCCAACGCCCTCTAAACGCCAACTATAACACTATTGGAGGGCACACTGGCAATCCTTGCGCGAATTCTTCTCTGACTTTCCTTGGGATGAATGTTGCTTTTCCTCTCGGGACGCCTCGGTATGTGCTGACAGCATTTCTGGGGTTATACACTGTGGTATGAGTGCATTTATCCCGTCTACCAAAACTTTCACTTTACAATCATGGCTTGATTGCTCCTGCTCTCTTGCATGTAGGGAGAGAGATAGGGCGTATCAAGTTATGAAACTATCTCCTTCTCCTATCACCCACTTCTCATTCATTACTTCTAGGAATCGTTGTAAGGCTATTCTTTGTCGGGCCAAGTGGAATTTTATAAAAAGAATGACCGCTGACCTGATTAACTCTTCTTCTAGTAAATCCTTCTGGTCCTTAATCAAAAACATTTGTACTAACTTGTGCATTTCTTCTTTTCCTCCTCTCTTCCGACCTGATAACTCTAAAGTCAACTCTCCCTCTGTTAAAACCAATTTCCTAGGTACTTTATTTTCCTCCAACTCCACCTTGGATGATTCCAACTCTACCCTTCTTACTCCTGCTCCTCCTACTAAACCTATGCACTTTCCTATAATCTCCACTCGTAGGGTTGCTGGTGTGTTATCCAATCATGATGTGAGTAAGGAGCATAGTCCAGACGGAATATCCCCTCTTGTTCTGAGGGAGTGCGTTAAAGTTCTGGACCCTGTGCTTGCTCGCCTCTTTCTCCTTTATCTCAAAACCCAAACTTTTCCTTCTTCTTGGAAGCATGGCTCGATTTAGCCCATCCCAAAGAAGGGTGACCATTCTAATCCCTCTAACTATCTCCCCATTGCCCTAACTTCATCCGGCTCTAAGATTTTCGAAACTCTCTTAAACTCTCATTTTCTCCGTCACCTTGAACACCTTTCACTTTTGTCAGATCACCAGTATGGTTTTTGCCAGGTGAGATCTACTGGTGATTTGCTCTCCTACTGCACCCATCTTTGGAAATCCTCTCTTAGGGATTATGGGGAAACTTTCGTAATTAAGAAGATTTGTAACCAGGTGAGAAGGTTGGGTCAGCATGCCCTCTGACCTGACTACCGGCTGCTGCGGTGCTTTTTGAAGATTAGTAGGGTCATTACCTAATACCTGACCATTGTGGATTTGATCTCACCCTCCTCTGTATATATATATATATATATATATATATATATATATATATATATATATATATATATATATATATATATATATATATATATATATATATATATATATATATATATATATATATATATATATATATATATATATATATATATATATATATATATATATATATATATATATATATATATATATATATATACTGTATATATATATATATATATATATATATATATATATATATATATATATATATATATATATATATATATATATATATATATATATACAGTTAACCTCACTTCGCGGTCCCATTCCGCTGCTTTCCACGCTTACGCGGTGCCCTGCCGAACCCAGGATGCTCACATTCCGCGTGCACCCCTTTACGGAGAGTGGCTGGCGAGCCGCCCATTTTGGATCCAAACCCCGCCATCCGCTATGTTGTAAGCGGCGCAACATGGTGCGCATTGCCGTCGCCCAGTCATCAAAACATTACCAGTTCTTCACCCCCACCCACCACAGCCGGCCCAAGTCAGTGATAGTGATAATTATGGTGAGGATATGGACTTATATGGACTTTTGGGAGTTTGACAAAGAGGCCCTGCAAGCCTCGTGGTGGATAGTGATACAATTGATACAAGTGACACAGGTGAGGCCAATAATCGCCCCTCTGCCTCGAACCAACCGCCCATCCCTGTCCTGCTCAGCCATTTTTTCTACTAATGTAAGTGTTAAAAAACCAATATTATTGATATTTCTCTTAATTATTAATTGTGTGTGCATACCATCATAAAGTTAAGATAATATTTTACTACAACATAGTTGTGTGTCAAAAAGTGGAGTTTGGGATCGGCCCGACTCCATTTCAATTAATCCCATATGTTATGTTATTCACTTACGCCACTTTTTACGCGGACCTCCGTTACATTAACCGCAGTGAGGGTTACGTATATATATATATATATATATATATATATATATATATATATATATATATATATATATATATATATATATATATATATATATATATATATATATATATATATATATATATATATATATATATATATATAATGAGCTGTATTATCTGTGGAACACTATAATTATCAACTAAATAAATGAGTAGTGTATATGGTTTTGATAATGTTTCATTTTATGCAGTGTGGCAACAGCTGCAGTCAGGAGAAGGAAACACGGTCAGCATTGTGTGTAAGCCAGAAGGGTAAAGTAGTGAAAAAAGAGTTTTGTTCAGCTGCACGCATGCCACCAACCAGCCGTAATTGTACTGATGCTACAGAATGTGAATTCCGCTGGTATGCTTCAGATTGGAGTGTGGTAAGTACTGATTTCCAGAGAGATATCACCTTCTGTTGCAACTTTGGATTATTTTTTCCCGAATGTTTAAAAGATTTTGTACCAAGTAATTTATATAATTAATAAATTTTAAAGGAAAATATTTGTTTGGAAATAAGTCTCCAGATACTGACAGCTACCTTTGATGCTGTGTCACATATATAAAGAATGTTCATATATTGTTACCCTTGTCTGTCCATCTATGAGTAAGAACAAATTTTTTCTTGGTGATTTTAACCACATAATCGTGAAATGCTCCGAGTTTAAGCTTTGTGATGAATATTACACCATCAAAGTACTGTAAAAGTGCATCACTGTGATTCAACTGATCGCATTTTTTGCTTTAGGCTAAGTTTTTGATCACCTTTTGTATTTAGTTTATTGAAGTCATTATGAAGGCAAGGCAAATCTTTCCAACTACAGAATATCTAATTCTAAGAACAATATTCTGTGCATGTTATTAACTTTATATTGAATGCAATATGCAAAGACACAAGTCCCCAGATTTAACGGTCTCATTGAAAGTAATTAATGTTATTAGGAATAGCTTTTGTTTCCTACAAACTCAGGACATAGAGAATGGCCAACAGCTCCAGTAATAATCTTGGCCCTAATACAGTAGTAAGGGTCTGTATGAGTTCCCTTGGTTTCACTTAGTGAAGGTGGACCTCACTGATAAAAACTGTCCAGAAATTTCTGTGATACCCAAAGCAACATAGTGAAATCTTCACTACTAGTAGAAGTTCAGTTTGTTTAACCAATGTCAAAATTGTCAGTTTATTTTATTGGGAATAGTCCCAAAAATCATGCATTAAACTAGAAGTAGAATGCAATAGGATATGTATACAAGAATAACATCATAGATAGGGGTTAATTACAGATCTCTCTTGGCTATCTGCAAAGTGTCAAGGAGATTAGTAACAGCTTGTGTTATATAACATTCACATTACTGAGCCTTTAGTATATAGCTGTGCATCTATCTACGCTTAATTTGTACGTGCAGAACGTAGTTTCATACGATACTCATTGGATACAGCTTGTGTATTTGTAGTGTCTACAACCTGCATAGGTATGTCTTGGACGTTTTTGTTTTTATTTTGTGCAGAAGTGGGAAGCAAGTCAGGGCTCACCTTTTTTTAATCTGTCCACGTGTACTACGTCGGTAATTTGTGTATCTGGTTTAAGTATTTTGAATTTGTTACCGTGCTCTTTGGCAATTATCAGGAAGGGTCCTTAAAATGTCGGCGAAAGCTTAGAGATCCTTTCAGGTCTCTTATCATGACAGCGTCGCCTATTTGTAGCTTGATAGGCTTAGCCTGTTTATGTTGCTTGTAAATCATTTCAGCGCACGATGCTGCTAATTGTTTACGCACTTTTCCATGGATGTCAGTGAAGACATTGATTTGCTTCTTTGTATAATCATCCATGTTATATACTGGTTGTGAAGGTCCTGTAAGTATGTCATAGGGTAACCTTTTATCGGCCCCATATATGATATAGTAGGGTGCTTTGCCTGTGAAGCTATTTATTGACCCATTTATTGACGCTGATACTTGAGGTAACAAATCCCCCCTTGCTACCTGCATTGGATTCACTATATGTCTGAAAATCTCTAGGATTTTGCAATTGGTCCACTCATCTAGGCCATTCGATTGTGGGTGATAAACTGCTGTGAAGCTTTGTTAAATGCTGTAGTATTCATTAGGTGACCTGCGCAACATCCCGGTTTAATGTGACCAAGGACGAATGCTTTACGATCCTTGTCGTCTTGGACATTATTATGTCTCATCACATCCTCACATGCTCGGAGAAATGCTAATACATTATAGTTAGGATCATCCCTTGTGAAGTTTCGGATTCGATCACGCTGTGGTAGTATTTTCCACACATTAGTTGCTTGCGTCACTGGGTTAGTCATGTTAGTGGTTAGAGGTTTACTAGTTAATTTAAATGCTGGTAAATCACTAGTGCATGCATTATAAGATGCCAATACACTATACTCATGTGTAGTGTCAGAGGTAGGTTCACTATACAGAGGTGTAGTGTCGTAAGAACGTCCTGACCTAAGTTGTGTAAATAATAATTCGTCATTTGTTTTATCTATGACTGTTTCACTAACTTCAATCGAAGTGTTTACTGTTAGTTCAGGTTCAATGACTTGTAATTCATGCGCACCTTCGAGTTCACATGTGTCAATGCTAACTGTGTCATGAGGTACAGTGTCACTTGAATCACTATTAAGTTTTCATTATGGTTTACAACTTGTTGATCGTTTAAAATATATAAATGATCCATAAATGTTTCTTAGATTTAAATGTTTAATAATTTTGCCAATCCATTCACAATTAAGTAATGTGACATGTAAATTTTAGTGATAATTAATTGTATAAATTATTTTTCCATTAATTGTTACAAGGCACTTGACAATTAATTATTATCTATCACTATCCCTACCTTGTGAAGATATGTTTTAAATTACATATAAAATGTGTATACAGTGACCCCTCGTTTAACGAACACCTCGGTTAACGTAATTTCGATTAACGAACTGCCTTCCATAAGGATCTTCAATTCGTTTAACGAAAAAAATTTCGCTTAACGAACTTCTTACGAACCGACCTCAACATGTTTTCGCTTGCACTGACCGGGCAACCAGCTTTAGTATCAGTCCGCCAATACATTAATCGGTTCTAGGGCTTAAATTCCTTACTATTTTTGTAAATATCAAGAAGTTTATACTATTCAATTATTTTAAAAGTTTAATATTAACTTTTTTAGTCATTTTAACAATTATTGAACATAATTGAAGGTAAAGTGACTAGTTTAATGCGCGGCATCCAGCCTCTTAACACAGCAAACAGGCGTCAGTCTCTCTCTGTTTTCACTGGAGGTAACATCTTGCTTGAGACTCTCTTCAACTAAGCGCTTTTTTTCTGTGTTTCCAAGCAAATTATTGGTCATTTTGAAAATTATTTTACATATTGACAATATATAGTGCAGTGCAGTGTTATTTTAAAGAAAATATTCTTTATTTACAGCTAGTTTAACTTTGAAAAATACGTGTTGCCATTGTTTGAATCTAGCATGGGGCCTAAGAGATCAAGAAAAGTGATTTCAATCCAAATGAAGCAGGAAATAATAAAAAAACACGAACAAGGTATTAAATCAAATGCGCTATGCAAAGAATATGGCATGTCGGCATCAACTGTGTCGACAATTCTTGCACAAAAAGACAAATTTAAGGAAGTGAACGTGAGAGACAAATCTACAAGAGTGTTTAAAAGTAGATCCCTAATCGTAGAAACTGAGAGGTTACTTATCATCTGGATTAGGGAAAAACAGATGAAAGGTGATTCAGTTTCTGGTGATTTCATTTGTGAAAGAGCCAGGGAGATTTATGAACATTTAAAGACAGATCAACCTAGTTCTTCAGGAACAGAATTTGAAGATTTTCGGGCTAGCAAAGGCTGGTTCGAAAAATTTAAGAAAAGAAGTGACATTTTAAGTGTTGTTAGGCATGGTGAAGCTGCTAGTGCTGATAAAGAAGGGGCAGCAAAGTTTTTAATTGAATTTAAAAAACTGATGGAAGAAAATTATCTTCCACAGCAAGTTTTCAATGTTGACGAAACTGGGCTGTTCTGGAAAAAGATGCCCAAAAGAACATTCATCACCAAGGATGAAGCCTCTTTACCTGGGCATAAACCCATGAAAGACCGTCTCACTCTATTGCTTGGTGCCAATGCTTCAGGGGATTTCCGACTGAAGCCTATGCTTGTCTACCACTCTGAAAACCCCAGGGTGTTCAAGCAACAGAAAGTGGTAAGAACAATGCTTGGAGTTTATTGGAAGTCCAACCGTAAGGCATGGGTGACAAGACAGTTCTTTAATGAATGGGCTATTGATGTGTTTTGCCCCTCTGTCAAGAGCTACCTAACCACCAATAAACTTCCTTTAAAGGCTCTTCTCCTCATGGATAATGCTCCTGGTCATGACCCTGACCTTGCCAGAAATTTGGAGTATAAATTTGACTTTGTGAAAGTGTTGTTTTTGCCTCCAAACACTACATCACTCATACAGCCAATGGACCAGAATGTGATCAGCAACTTCAAGAAGTTGTACATGAAGAAAATGTTTAGGAGGTGTCATCAGGCAACTTCCATTGATCCTGAACTAACACTGAAACAGTTCTGGAAGACACAATTCAACGTCCTGGAGGCTGTAAAATTGATTGTGTCATCATGGCAAGAAGTCTCCAATAGAACCCTCAATTCTTCATGGAAAGCACTGTGGCCATCAGTAGTCCATAATTTTGAGTGATTTGAGGATGACACAGAGTTGGACCAGGAGATTGTGTCCATTGGTCAGTCATTGGGTCTTGAAGTGGAGGAGAAGGATGTGGAAGAGCTTGTGATGTCTCATGAGGAGGAACTTACTCCTAATGACTTGAAGGAACTGGATGAGATGTTACGGGTAGAGGCTGACAGTGGTGAGGAGGAAATTGAAAGTGATGACCATATGTCAGCTACACAGTTGAAAGATGTGATTTACCACTGGGAGAAGTTCAGGGAACTGGCTTCAAAGCACCCAGAAGTGGAAAAAACTGAACTAGCTTTGTGTCATGTTGAGGACTCAGTGGTCTCCTTCTTTAAACATAAGTTAATGGTGAGGAGGACAGATGCCCCACAGACCACAATTGACACTTTCTTCAGTAAAAGGCAGAGGGAACAAGATGCTAGCCCTCAGCCTTCTCCTCCTGCACCTCCCACTTCAAATGCACATCATCACCATCATCCAGGAGCCTTCTACATACACACCTCAAAGTAAGTAAATTTTTCCGCCATTTTTGTTGAAGTTAGGAAATTTTCGGTGAGCTGGAACCAATTACCCAAAAACCCATTGAAACAATGGTTTCGGTTAACGAACGTTTCGGTTAACGAACGACCTTCTGGAACGGATTGAGTTAGATTGTGCGAAGAGCCACTGTATATATAACTAATGATTGTTTGTGAAATACCTAATACCGTAGAGTTGATTGTAGTTTCTCGGAGAAGTCCTCTTGTTTACATCTGATCAGCTGGGCTGGGTGGATGACGTAGTGAGAGCTGGTCTCACGACACCGCTTTAGGGTATCGTGCCGGGCTGTGAACTGGTGAAAACTGGGCTGTACTCTTTTGAGTCTGGTGCCTGGTGGTTGGAGATAAACCATCCTTCAACACGGACATTATTTAAACAGCCTACTACACACTGAGGGTTGAGTCTGTAGCTTTATGGTCTGTACACCCAAGAAAGTGTGAAAGAACAAATGTTTATGGGCTGTCCACCCTAGGAGGTGTGACAGAACAAATGCTTATGTAGCTGTATGCTCAATAGTCTGGGTGATAAAATGTATACAATATAATGAATATACAGTCATTTCTGCTACAAAGCGTGTTTTGTCAACGCGAATTGGCTATAACACGATTGATGAATAGAAGAACGATATTTGTAAAACACGAACGCGTGTTGGCTGTAACGCGATTCCACTCCAACGTTTTCAGTGTACTGTCACTTGGCGCAGGGTTATGCAGTGTTTACAGTTCACGTTCGACATCACATGTTCAATTGATTCATGTGTTTTGTTTGTGAAGTGTTATTTGATAGGGACTCTTATAAATTTCATCCTTTTTTTGCAAATTTAGCTATTCCCATAAATACTGTATTAAAAAAATAAATAAGAATAATGTTTCGCAGTGCAGACTAATAGCGCTTTACACCCCCGCTCTCTGTTTACATCACACGATCAGTTGAAACACGTGGGTTGTTTTGAAGCGTCCTCAGTGATTTTTGCTTACTCTTTCTCCAATTTTGTGCTATTAACTGTGAATATGGAAAAGAAGAATATCTCCAAGAAGAGTTCTGGTGATCGCATTCCTGGTGGTGATCGTAAAAGAAAGGCTATAACACTTGAAGAGAAGCTTGATGTTACCAACCTCAAAATCACCCTTCTCCCCCATCAAGTTATATTCATATTTTTTCAAGGTAAAGTGTTACATTTACTGTATGATTTCATTGTTAGATATGAATGTAACATTTATTTAGACTGTAACATTTAGCTATCCTTTGTGTAAGGCTAACTCCTAAATTTTTTTCAATTTCGAGTAATCTGCACCTAACCCTATTTTCTCCATAAGCCCTGTTATTTCTATTGCGCGAATTTCCACAACGCGAGGTTTTACAAGAACACAACTATCTCGTTGTAGCAGAACTGACTGTATGTCCTTAGCCCATATTTATATAATATTAATGTGACAGAGGCTAATACACCATTCAACCACTCAGTTTTGTGTTGGTAGGCCAGGTGAGAGGATACAGTACCCACCCACAGTTGGTTTATTTATTTTCATGTATTTTGTGCAAAGTGCTATTCCACCCACTTTGATATGGCTTCTGCACCAAGTTTTAGTAGGAGGGAAATTATTCTCATCCATCACCTGTAGTTCTGGTAATTGTTAATTTTGTGCAAATTTTCTGATTAAGGTTGGTTATCTAGGCCAAAAAGTTGGGTATTGGGGTGGGAGGAAAGTGCTTGATAACTCGGAAAATTTGATAACGTGGAATGGTTGGAGCTCCACATATTTTGAGCTATCAAAGGTTTACTGTATAATAATGTAGGAAATATTAACATTTTGGTGGACTTTGTATTAAGAATGGGGTGAGCTTTTATTAGTTACCCTTGGAAAATTTTGAATATGTCTGAAGAGAGCTGTAGACTTAAGAGTTGTTTTGTGCCTATGAGGGGTAATCATTTACAGGGGGTCCCTGGGCTATGAGCGGGTTCCGTTCCTGAGGATGTCCGTAAGTCGGATTACTGTGCCCTCTGTGCACTATATCATAGCCCAAGTCCTTTTATACATCTTGAATCATTTAATTTAAGAGAAAAGAAGAAATTGAATAACAAAATACAGTAAAGAAAAGTAAAAATAAAGCTTAATACTTACATAGAAGCATGGAGCTGGCTTACATGTAGAGATGGGCATTTGTAGGAGTGACAGAGGCTTTATTGGGACGAAAGTGATGATGTTGATGATGATGATGATGTAAATGTTAACAGGATTGGTTCTGGAGAATCTGGTGAGTTAGAATTAACTGGTTCTGGAGTTGCTGGGAGTTGCTCCGTAGATGCTGCAGAGGTTGATGGGCCTGGTTCTGTAGATGCTGCAGAGGTTGATGGGGCTGGTTCTGTAGATGCTGCAGAGATTGATGGGCCTGGTTTTGTAGATGCTAAAGAGGTTGATGGTCCTGGTTTGGGCTGCCTTTTGACTTTCTTAAAAAACTTTTCAAGAGATGGTTGAACTGAAACTTTCTTCTTTTCGCCATAAATCTCTCAGTCGCATCTTAGACATTCAGTAATACCTCTATGAACCTTGGTGAATCTTGCTGCATTGGGATCTTGCTGTTCAAATTTAAACAGTCCTTCTTCAATAAGCCTGAAATCTTCTGTCATTTCTTTTGTAATGAATCACTTTTGTTCTGGTATTTCAGCTTCCTCTACATCCTCTGACAAAATTTGTTTCTCCAGTTCAATTAAGTCCTCATTGCTTAATTCTTCAGCATGAGACTCAAGCAACTCTGTTACATCATCCTCTTGAATATCAAGCTGGAGTTGGTTCCTGAGTCTACTACCACTGTCTGTGTCACTTCCCCAACATCATTTTCAAAGCCCCTGAAATCATGGACAAACTGTGGGAAGAGTTTTTCCAAACACCATCCATATTGGTTTCTTTTACCTCAGCTCATGAATCTGCAATGTTTTCACAGCATCCAAAATGTTTAGGAAGAACAGATGTTGTGTTTGAAGGAAGGTACACAACCTTGATGTTTGGATGAACATCATCTAAAAATGCTGGATGGCCCGGGTGCATTGTCAAAAACCAAGAGTATTTTAAAAGGCATTGACTTTGAAATACAATACCGCTCTTGAGATACAGTACCGTTCGACTTCAGGCACAAAATGATTAAGGTACCAATCTTCGAAAAGGACCAATGTCACCCAAGCCTTCTTATTAGCTTTCCAGATAACTGGAAGTGCTGCCTTGAAAACATCCTTCAAAGCTCTAGGATTTTCTGACTGGTAGACAAGCAAAGGTTTTAGTTTGTAGTCCCCAGCAGCATTACCCCCCAACAGTAAGGTCAGCCTCTCCTTGGCAGCTTTATACCCTGGTGCTGTTTTTTCATGTTTTGAAAGATATGTGCTTTCGGGCATCCTTTTCCAAAATAAACCAGTCTCATCAATATTAAAAACTTGCTCAGCACAATAATCTCCTTCCTCAATTACTTTAGCTAAAGCAGCAGGAAATTCACAAGCTACAACTTCATCGGCACTAGCTTCTTCACCTTTCACTTTAATGTTATGTGAGTTTGCCCTTGCCTTGAGCCAGTTAAACCAGCCCCTACTAGCAACAAAATGTTCCCCATCATTGTCACTACCACGTTTAGCCTTCCAGTCGGCGTGCAAGCTTCTTGAATTTTCCTGAATCAAGGCTAGACTTAGAGGCAGATGCCATTGATTTTGATCTTCCACTCATATCACTGACAATCTTTCCATTTTAATTAACAATCCACTTCTTTGTTAAGTAATCACAGTTGACTGCATTGGTGTAGATCCTTTAACATGTTCAAGCATTTTCTCTTTGGCTTTCAAAATTTTTCTAACCGTTGAGCGACTGAAGTCCAACGCCTTACTGATCACTGAGGGCGTTTGGCCTTTTTTCAGAACGTTTAATTACATCAAGTTTCACTTACATCATAATTGTTTTCCTTTTCTTGGAAACATTACTGTCACTTGCATCAGCTTTGCATTTGGGAGCCAAGATGAGGGCGGAAAAAGAGAGTTAATAAGCGAAAACAACAGTTTGTACTTGATCACGCAGGTTACTGAGGTGAGGGTAAAGCATACTGACGCTCCCTCAAGGCAGGTGGCTGGGTGATACATCACTGCCCATGCGCTGCTGCGCCTCTCCTCTACGCTGCGCCAACTAGTTCTCGTACGTAACTGCTACGAACCATTGTACTTATGTCGGATTTTTAAAATAATTTACCTTTTGAGACCTCATTCGTATCGATGGGCATTCGTAAGTTGGGGACCCCCTGTATATTTAAATAGAGAAGGTACAAGCTGTAGGTCCTATGCAGATGAAACCAGTGAGATAGTCAACAAAGCCTTTGTTGAGCTACATTGAATTAGGGTTATCTCAGCACAGCTATGTAATACTGTATCTGACTTAGGTTTTAAAAAGTACAAATATTGATAAAACAAATTTTCAGTGCTCTAATGATTGTGGCGAGGGCATTAAGACTCGACATGTGTTATGTGGTATGTGGAAAAACAACGTTTTGACTCCTGTACCTGAAGTCAACTGTGATGCTGAGAAACGCTTCAATGACACTGAACCATGTAATGGGACAGAGACCTGCAAGGGCACCTGGTTCACAGGACCTTGGAGTCGAGTGAGTAGGAAGTGTTTTGTTTTATTACTCTGATATATCTAAACAGGGCAGCACTGTCTCTTCTACCATTGTTTTCCCAAGACTATGTGTTTGTATTTATTGGTACATTATTGAAATAATAATTCAGTTTCATAGAATTTTACATTTTCAGTGGGATGGAATATGAGTTTTAAGAGAACTAAATGTAGTTTTAATGCAGTATTAATCAAACTCTCTGCTTGCACAAAAACATTTATAATAAAAACCGATTATGTTGTAAACTTAATGTCTCATTGCTTGAAAAATAAAATTATATAAATTCTTTTATTTAGAATAAATTATTTTTGTAACTTCTAATATACTTACCATAACTTTGGGAGTGAGGGGTTCCATCATCAGTGGAAGCTTCTCTTAAAGCTCTGGTTGTTGTTACAATAAAATGACAAGAATTTCATAAAAATTTATTGCAGGATATCACTTGAAAAGCTGATTGTAATGCTGTTTATGAAAGCTAGTAAATATGGATCTATTTCTAACATTTGTCTCTTATCCCTTGCTACTCCACCAATGAAATTGGGAATAACATGTAAGTACAGTCTGGTATTTAAACTGTAGCCTCTTTTTAAGGCATAAGAGTTAATTTTGAAAAGAGAGAAAGCAAGCACAGTAAGCAGATGGCAGTTACATGACCTTTGATGGAAATTCCATATATACTGTAAAAGAATTTGTGTGCAAATGTAAAGAGCAGATCACACAGGGTGTGTGAGTGAGTGACTAGTATATATTCTAAAACATACCCTAGCACACAGCTAAAGGTGTGGCTAGTGGATCACAGTTATTAATTATTCCTTGTTAGCTTAATATTCATTGATAGATTTTTTTTATTTATTTTTTCTATGAAAATGCCATTTGCTTGATTCGTTTTGCCCCTCTGGCCTCATTGATACTTGAGGCAGAGTATATGTGCTGCTCGGCAATCCTCAGACATGTGTCCTTTGACTCTGCACTTTGAGCAGTTATACTTCCCAACCTTAAATCCTTGATCTGCCTGTGAAATTGTCTATGGAAGTGTCACATTATTTTTATTTATTTTTGTCTAAAATTTTGTATTTCAGTGTAATAGGGAGTGTGGTGGTGGTAACAAGCATCGCAAGATTCTCTGTTATGTGGGCAATAAGCAAGCAACTGCAATACAGTGTGATGGCAACATCATTCCTTATTCCATTGACTCCTGCAACAACAACCCTTGTGGGGATGGTGGGTTGCTATTGTATACCAGCATGTGATACAGCTGCTATAACTCTTTTATTTATTTCATATTTATATTGTAAGTGCCAACATTATTCTTTTTATCATTTATCTATGACAAACTTTACTTGAACAGATGAGGTTCTGGGTATGGGAAGCCGTGTTGATGTAGAGAGTGAAGATGACTCCTGGTGTGATGGAGATGAAGCTAAGGTGAGCAGTGTTTCTTAATTAGTACAGTAAAAACCCTGAGTACTGGACTAATTAAGCCACAGTGACTTCGTTAATCATTGATGGAATCTGTTATTTGAATGCCCATATCAGAAGGGATGCACAGCTGTTCAAAACAATCAGCATATTACACTAACACTGATTGGCTTATTTAAGCTCATAATAAATTAGTTCAAGTAAAATAATCATACCTATGATGTACTTTCAGTAAATTCAATTCTAGATTCTAGAAGCTTTCAGAGTCACAAAGAAGATTTTTGAAGGTCCTCGAATCCCAGTGGATGGGCTTGTGCAGTGTGAGATAAAGTGGATGATGTGGGCATGTACAGTAAACGTCTGGCAGCAAAATGGATATGTTCACAAAATCCACTATGTTCTCAGAACTAATTTGTCACAGGTAGATTTAACAAAGAGTAAAAGGGAATACTGTACTATAGCTTGCAATCCTTTGTTATTCTGTATTTTACATACACTAAAAATGAGCAAAGATTGTTGTAAGAAACAATGAAAGTAATACATCATACAATACAATAACACATATTTTATATACTAAAAATAGCTCCTTCAGCCCTTGAACCAGCTGACTTGAGAGACACGTGTCTGCTACATTGTGTATGTTGTGACGTCACATTCGAGAGAGCGTGATGCATCCATACATATATTCACCTCCCAACCAGACTACTGTTCAATCTCATGCTCTTCATTTTTCTTTTTCTTTTATAGTTTAAGTCATATTTCCTTTATTTCTAAGTTACATTAAATTACAGCACTGAAATGATTTTCCCACAACTTTTACAGTTTCATTACATGAATCTGTGGTAACATGTATAGCCATCTCAAGGCTTGAGGTGTAGGGATTGTTGTCACTGGAGAAGGTATGTGTGTAGGGATTGTTGTCACTGATGAAGGGGTGTGTGTAGGGATTGTTGTCACCAGTGAAGGGGTGTGTGTAGGGATTGTTGTCATTGGTGAAATGGGTGTTTGTAGGGATTGTTGTCACTGATGAAGGGGTGTGTGTAGGGATTGTTGTCACCAGTGAAGGGGTGTGTGTAGGGATTGTTGTCATTGGTGAAATGGGTGTTTGTAGGGATTGTTGTCACCAGTGAAGGGATATGTGTAGGGATTGTTGTCAACAGTGAAGGGATGTGTGTAGGGATTGTTGTTGCCAGTGAAGAGGTGGGTTTAAGAATTGTATATCATCATTGACTCCACCAAACCAGTTAATAATTATGTTTAATGAAAAAAATAATGACATGAAGAGAAACAAATACTGTACTTCATGAGATCAGTCTTATGAAATAGTGTTTGTTTTTAAAGAAGGTAAATATTATTTTATGTGTTGTGAAAATGATGATTGCAAGTAGAGCCGTGTGTACTGATTACAAGTATGTTAATTTTGTTTAATAGGGACTGGGTTATATGGACAAACATTCAAGATAGGATTAAAAACTCTTAACTAAAGAATATCAATATAATTTTGCCTTAACTTAGTTGAATAAGCAGTATTCATCTAATTCTCTCAACTGTAACACCATGAAAGTAAAATACCAGAAAATAATAATTATCATTACAGGAGGAATCTGGAGATGGCATGGATGCTTCGGGTGACACACCAAAGGATACATCCTCTGGGGAGGCAGATTCTGGGAGTGAAATGCTTGAGGAAACGTCAGCTGAAGATGTTGGTGATGATGCAGGCTCTGGAGAGGAAGAAACTGGAGGATCAGATGAAAGTAAATCTGAAAGTGAATCAGATGAAAGTGGATCTTATGAAATCAAATTAGATGTAAGTGCATCAACAAAAATGGCTGTGAGTTTCACCACTCCTTTCTCTTTTTATTATATGCAAGCGTGACCCATTGTTTGGTATAAATATTATTTAGTGATTCTCAAAACTGTTACAATGATTTTTGTTCCTTTACCTTCTTTTATTATTTATGCTTATATATGTAGTTTTTTTTTTGTAAGTACTGTACTGTATTGTCTTAGAATGCCGAGAGTGTTTTTAAAGGTAACAGGAAAAGATGACAGTTGATAGTTAATTTTTAAAATTATTATACAATATAGTGTTATAAACTGTACAGTATAGAGTAAATTATATGTATTAACTTTAAACTTTATAGGATCTGTCAAGTGAAGAAATATCCTCAACTGGGGATCAAGGAAATGGATCTTCAGAGGCTGTCTTAAGTGATAAAACTTTTTTAACAAACCGTGAAAAGCGGTCACATTTGGAGGTAATATCTGATGTTGTTAGGTTGCTCAGGGCTTCCCAGCTGATACATTGGTGAAAGAGAACCCTCTATTTAATGCTTTTACAGAGTTCTCATTAGCCTGCCAATCCAAAAAAGAAAGAAAAAAATTGGTGTTAATTGCCTGAAGTTTAAGAGCATGTTGTGGAATTCTTCAGGAGATCGACATAAAGAGGCTGGCATGCTGTGGGATGTTGATACAAGTATTTGATATCTTGGTCTTTAACTTCCTACTCATATCAGTACCTGTACTTCATTCATAAGGAAAATATATATTAGCTTGGGACATTGTATGATATACTCTCAGATATCTTGGATTTTTTTTTTTTTTTTTTTTGCGTAACTAATTCCATTACATGTAAAATTCCCCATTAATTATTTCCAGTATTCCTTGCCTGTGTCACTTGACTGAGCATGTCAGTATTACCCTGCAGGTGTATGTTATGACCCCACAGGTAGGAACAATCTATCCTGGCTAAGGGACATACCAGGTGGTTTCTTAACATCTTTGTGATGGACTTGAAGGAATCTGTTCTGGTCTATCTTTGTGCATTATTAAAAACCAGGGGTCTGCAACCCTCATATTTCTGGCCACTTGCAGCCCAAAAAATTATACTGTTTTTGCGGCTGGCATGACAGCCTCCAAAATATGTGATGAGCGGCTGGCTTAGTTGATAAGGTAAAGATAAGGCCTTTTGAACACTATTCAATAAATGCCTAATTTGATACACTTTGTAAGACTCGGAAGCATTACACTGTACCTGACAGTTGACAACAAAAACAAACACACAGTTACATGAAATGCTTGTAATGATTAAAGCTAGAATTCACAGATTGTTTTCCTGAGATTTAGTGTGAAAATTTTTTTCTCATTTGTTTCAAATCCTTTTCTTATTAAGCAAATGGGATCAGTTATTGCCAAACATATATTGATGAGGGAAATCTTGCTCAGGTACAGTTGTAGCTTCTGGACCGGCAGATTAATATCCTGACACACACTTACAAACCCACAGTCATTTTTGGATTTAAAAAAAAAAGTGCATTATGGTACATTGAAGCGAGTAGATTTCAGAGTTTTCAATGTTTGGATTATCCTACTGTTACGAGCAGACTTACTGTACTGCTCAAAACTCACTAGTAATCACACAAAGGAACTTATGGTTGCAGATTTTGCTAAATGTGAATCTGGTTTAAAAAAAAAAATTAAGAGAAGATTGAATCTCAAATTTTTTATAAGTCTTATTAATTATTGTATTTCCTGTGTATTGCTGAAAGTGAAACATAATTTTGTTTCATTAATATTTATTGCCACCACATAGGTTACTTATATTTTTGTACTGTATACCAGTACTTGTCTGAATATGTGGCTTAGTTCTATATACAGTATAGTCTCGATTTAGGCGGATTTCCTTTACGTGGCACCTGGCCAGACCGGCAATTATTAGTTACGCTATACATTCCATCATTTACGCGGGAAGCGGCGCGGGCAGGGTGCGCACTAGGTCGTCCAGTCAACTAAACATTCCCAAGTTCTTCACCCACCACCCACCACAGCCAGCCCAAGTCAGTGATAGTGATAGTGAGGATATGGACTTTGAGGGGTTTGACAAAGAGGCCCTGCAAGCCTCTGTGGTGGATAGTGATACAGGTGATACAAATGATACAGGTGAGGGCCAATAATCTGCCCTCTGCCTCGGAACCAACCCCCCATCCCCGTGTGCCAGCCATCTCTTCTACTAATGTAAGTGTTAAAAAACCTAATATTATTGATATTTCTCTTAAATATTAATTGTGTGTGCATAGCATCATAAAATTAAGATGTTATTTTTACTATAACATAGGTATTGTGTCGGAAAAAGGGTAGTCTGGGGGTCGGCCCAGTCTCTATTTCAATTAATCCCATATGTTCTGTTAATTCGTTTACACGTTTCTCGTTTTACGTGGACCTCCACGGGTTTAATTGACCGCGTAAACCGAGACTATACTGTATCTTAATGCCCAATATTTTGTTTTATATTTCTGAATATGATACAAATAACATAATTACACCGTGTAATGGCTGCAGGCGATTACTAATTTCTTGTTTGTGGTGTAGTGTACTATATAAAGGTTGTGGACCCCTGTTATAGACTCTTCTACTGAGCCAGGTGACAGGATGATATCTATTGCATGCTTGCATTGATAGCCAGTCTATGCATTAACTAGAGCATAGTTAAGGTGGTTTATGTGTTGCAACACTCCTCTGTTATACCCCTCCCCTTATTCTGAAGTTTCTACACCCCTTGATCTACCCCACATGAAAGAGGAAGAGGAGTGTATATGCAAATTTGTATTTAAAAGCCCAAAGAAAAATTACTCCCCATATGAAAAGGTGTGGGGAGGTGTTTTATTTTTTATTTGTTTATCAGATATTTATCAACATATTCAGGTTTTGGATTTGATTTTAACATAAATTTTCTGCATTTATATTTTTAATTGTGTTTATCGGCTCTGTGAAAATAGTGAGTAAACTCGTATAACAAGCTGGTAGACCCACTGCATGAACTTTTGCTCCAAGCTTTGCATCCTCTCTCCTTCCCATTACTGTAGTTTCACAACCATTGCTCCATCCACCCTACTCTTCCTCCTCTTATCCTACCAATATATATATATATATATATATATATATATATATATATATATATATATATATATATATATATATATATATATATATATATATATATATATATATATATATGTATATATAAATATATGTATATATATATATATATATATATATATATATATATATATATATATATATATATATATATATATATATATATATATATATATATATATATATATATATATATATATATATATATATATATATATATATATATATATATATATATATATATATATATATATATATAATGTGCAGTGCAAAATATATATTAAGTTTTTAAGTCTCGTACAAGGTTGATTACTGTTAGAAGTATTTATCCTGCCCTGATGGTAAGATATACAGTACAATGATTTCCTTTATATGATTTTGGTTGTTTATTTTTGCAGATCATTGTATTTATAAGCCTCTGGTGCAATTCATGTTGAATTTATTAATCATTTTGAAATATACTCGTATGTCTCAAGAAATATTAGACAAAATATGTAGTACGTTTTAGGTTTGTACTCCTACCTGGGGTGCAGAGGCTAAGGTGTCATCTCACTGGGACAATTGTCTTTTCTGTGCAGTTTTTGCCATCCCACTTGGATGATTTCTCAAAAGACGATTACCACATGAACAATTACAGGAGAACCTCTATACACCGGACTTCATTACACCAGAATTTGCTTTTTTCGGACTCTGAGGTGCTCTGGACCACCCCTCCATTCACCAGATATATATAAAAAAAAAAGATAAAATAAATAAATCGGGAAAATTCAGCATCAGTCCGGATGGTTTGTGTGTTCGTACGTGTGGTTGAATATGCATGAGTGTCGCATTGCACCTGTCTCATTCCAAGTCCTGCCTTCAAATGTGTCGTATCAGAGCGCTGCATTTTGCTAACTATATTCATTTACATCATTTATGTGAACTTTATATGTAAATAACGTAATTTCATTAACAGAGATACCTGAAGGTTTTAAGAAATGGGTTAAAACTATGTAAGTACTGTATGTACAGTATTTCAAGAAATGGGTAAAATAAAGTAAAATTGTGAAAAGAAAAACACTTGCTCACTGAATACGGCACAGTACTGTAGTCTAATCAGATTTGCTGTAGGTCTAATGAGAGCTAATACACTGCGTACTAGGGTTTACAGGGGAGAGGAGCTGATTAGGCGTTGCCACATACGTCAGGTTTATTTATTTTTTCAATATTATTTTCTCGTATGACCAGCCTTTGATGGTGTATGATTCATCATGATTAATATAACTTCTTTAATGGAAAAAAATACAATATGTAATTTGTAATTTGACTTGAAAATAAACAAATAAGCTAAATCTGAGGGTGTTCACTCAGGATGCATTCATGTGACAGCTTTCAGCAAATCAGCTTACAACAGGGTCACTATAGCAAACTGTATAGTATTTGATGTGAAGTTACCATCCTAACAATGTTATTTATTACCTTTGAGTGATACATGATGGCTCAATTTGGCTACTTGTACACTTGGACAACAGATTAATGAATAAACCATGGAATATGTAGATGCATAACACACTACAGTGGTCCCTCGGTTAACGAACGGTTCAATTAACAAAATTTTGGTTAACAAATTACAGTACCTCCCATAAGGATCTTCAATTCGGTTAACGAACAAAACTTTGATTAACGAAATCTTTACGACAAACACGTTTTGTTGTGCGCTTCAGCTGATGGGCTTGTCTGCCAATTCAGTAATCTTTTCTATGTTTACATTCTTTTCCATTGGATTAAATATCAAGAAAGTTGTGCTCTTTATTATTTTTGCATTTTTTATATTAAAATTATTAGTTATTTTAAAATTTAGTTAACATATTGATAATATATGCAGTTCAGGGAATTAGTTTTTTGTGCACCCATCAGCCGCTTGATTCACCAACCAGGCGTCAGTTTGGCTTTGTTTACAGTAGAGTGAACATCTGTTTTGTTGTGTCTTGAATATTTTTGCATTTTTACATTAAAATTATTGGTTATTCTGAAATTTAGTTAACATATTGATAATATATAGCACAGTGCAGTGTTGATTTAAATAAAATAATCTTGAATTACACCTAGTGAACTTAAAATTTTATTGGTGAAATTACTACATGAAGCATGGGTCCCCTGAAAGGTGATTTCTCCTCCATCCCCACTTCCTTCTCTTCTCCCTTCTCATCCACCCCTACTTCTAATTCTCATCATCATCATCAACCAGTAACCTTCTACATACACACCTCAAAGTAAGTGTACTTTACTACCTTTTTTGTTGACTTTAGGCAATTTTCGGTGAGCTGGAACCAATTACCTAAAA